TTCCCGCAGCGGTCTATTGCTTGGTCCTGTGCTCGACAAAGGCATGCATGTTGATGGTTGACTGCAGATCTATCGCTGCTGGCTCGTGTACACAGAATCACCACATAGGACAATCGTCGGGATCGTACCAGCTATACTATGGCTGGCATGGTTATCCATCGCAATCGTACTTCTTTATTACGCCGTGACCCTGAACACGGCAACGTCGATCCCAGGAACTCTCGAAATCCAGCCTTTCGTCTATGCGTTCTACTCGACGACGTTAACAATCAATGTGTTCACAACGGGTACGTTGGCATTTCCTCTACTTCATGTAACTGATCTGGCTGATCGTCAATAAAAGGCCTTGTCATTGTCAGACTCTGGAAATTTCATAGGCGTAATGCAGAGCTATTCTCGCGAAGCTGGCGAGTCCCAGGCCGAATGGACTGGGCTCGGTACACCTTGATCATAGTGGAGTCGGCCCTTCTGTACACGGCGACTGTCGTCACTTGCATTGCGCTGGATCTTGTGGGTACGAATGCGTACTATGGCATGACAGACATTGTAAGTGAAGACTCAGAGTGGAATCGGCACTTATACAACTTTCCTCTGACACATCCGATTTTGCAGAGTCTAGAAGCTGCCGGTATCACCTTCGACCTCATCATTATACGGATCTGGACGGGAGTATCAACAGAGCAGACTCAAGCTTTCATGGATACGGTGCAGCATGCATCCAAAGTGGTGGCGACTGCGCACGATGAACAAATCAAATCTGCTCCGTCAGCTTTCACGGCCCGGGATGTAAACACCTTGGACCTGACCCAGGCCCTCCCCGGTGATCATGACGATCAACTGGAGTGGCAGAGGAATGGCTCCGGAAACCATGTATGATCGTTCAGACACAGGCCGCATATTGCTAGACCACTGACTGTATTCATGATGGTGTACTTCGACTTTCGATTTCGGTAGGAGAAAACTGTACAATTAGAACTCGTGTCGTTCAAATCCCTCCAGGATAATCAAGCAAATATGGCCGTCGAGATGTACATATGTTACGACTTACGTGAAGTTAATGAACCGTAACCCTGAGGACGACTGGGCGAACAAACAAGTACAAAGACAATGAAGTACTGCTTCTTCCTCCTCCCGCCGACCGCACGACCGATCATCGACATCGTACACATATACTCTTCGGAACTGCTGTATAAACAGGCTTGATAACTGAACCGCATCCGCATCTCGCCGGTCACCCCTGAAATCATGACTGGGCTTGCCGCGGCGTGAACACATGCACTGCAAGTCCTGTTGGCGCTAAACTACTGCTAGTCACTGACAGTGTTGAGACCCACCAAGTTTGCAGTTCGGGGTCTGGTGTGAGTGGCTAGTCGGGACTCGTCAATGTAAGCATTCGGCCAGTGACTCTGAGCCTGAGGCTACTGCACACCTAGCGCTAACGTCCGGGATGCTGGCCGTGGATGCTCGTCGCCATAGCCTTCTTCGTCTTCGGCACTTGCGACGTCTCATTCAACTTATACCACAACCTCATTGCATTCATATTCTATACGGGACCCGGTGGGGCAGATGCTGAATTTGACCGTCTGTCGACTTGGGTCAACGTTATGCAGGTAAGTTATGTGGCTGTCTTCGAGCTGGGTCCTGCGCGTTGCATGTCTCATTGAATTCTTCCAGAGTGTATAATCCGATCTCAATATCGCCTTATCTGACGCAACCCTGGTGAGTATTGAAGTGAAGATAGCCTTACCACAACCGAATAGGTCGATTAACACACGTTGGTAGATTTACCGCTGCTGGCTCGTGTACGCGCATTCGCCTCGTCGGGCAGTTGTGGCCATTGCACCCGTCGTACTTTGGCTGGGATGGATTTCTTGCCCAATCGTAATCCTCTACTACATCTGCACCTTGAATGCAGTGACGTCTATACCTTCAACCGACGAGATCCAACCCTTCCTATATGTCTTCTATTTCTTGACACTCGCGATAAATCTCTTTACAACGGGTATGTGCGCACACTCCATCTTTTAAGCACGACACTACTTACAGGTCTTATCATCCTCCGGCTCTGGAGGGTCCATAAGCGCACATCATCGTTCTTCACGCGGAGTTGGCGAGGACCGAGTCGTTTGAGTTTCGCAGACGTCACTTTGATTATCATCGAGTCTGCGCTCCTGTACACGACAACCGTCATCATCTGCGTCGTGCTGGACTTGGCGAATAGCAACGCGTACTATGGCGCTACGGATGTCGTAAGTCATCTACGTGGTCCTCTGCTGTGTAGCGTTCTGATATGATCTGTGCTTTGCAGAGCCTTGAAGTAGCAGGGATATCATTCGATCTGATCATTATACGGATCTGGACAGGCGTGTCCACGGAACAGACGCAAGCCTTCACGGATACGGTGGAGAATTTGTCGAAAATCAAGGCAGGAGCGAGCGAACAGGTCATCACCGCTCACTCGGGCTTCACGGACTTGAACACTTTGGATCTTGTGGCTTCCCGTGATGATATGGCCCAGTGGGGTGACGATGACGCGAACCCCGTCTGATGTGTCCTGGCGATCTCCTGGTCTTGTTGGTAATCCAACGTACCGTAGATGGTGACTATACTAGGAGCGAATAGATTGAGTCGACATTGACTATACGACGTTCGGCCTAGTAGTATCCATGCAAGAGCAACCCGACATGATGCTCGATGGCTTAGCTCAGGTCCGGAGAACCAGCTCTCGGCATTGCTTGATGAAGTCTCTGTTGTTGTTGTGGCAGCTCAACCACACACGGTACATACGGCTGAGAATTCGCTGTAGATTTCAACTCGACGCTAGATTAGCGCGCAAAGTGTGGCGTGTGGCGAGCAAGTCGATTTGATCGAACCGTCATGAACCTGGGTCGTCGACTTCCTCTCATCTCCTCGCGCAAAGCCTCGAGTCGCAATAACACACGAGCGTCGACGTAATGCGAGTATTGGACTTTTCATCAACACATGGTGAATATCGCTGCAGAATGTTCACTGTAGTCCGAATACCGTGACTGCGTTAGCTCGTGTTCAACAGTTAGTTCCTTTAACCGCACATGTTCCTCGTCTAATCATCAACTTGAAGCGTGCTCACAGCGCGGATACATCGATAACGACCAAGTCCAGAAAGCGCAATGTGGTTACAACTCGGACCTTCCCGAGGTTGCGCGGGGCAGGTGCGCTATTTCGGCTTGGGTGTGCAGAGCCGTCGAATGGGATCATGCAATTTGCACGGAGCGTGATACGGACGATATGTGCAGACCGCTGCCAATCTCTGCGCCGCGTCGTGTCGCTTGTTATAATACAGGGGCAGTCGCTTGGCATTCGTACAGGTGCGAGTGAGTGTTGGTTCACTCTGATTGTTTCCTACCTCTCGAGGACTGCGTCTATGTTCGTTGCTTGATGATGACATTCATATAAAGAACTCAAAAGCCCGAAGATCACAAATGCGCTCGCTCAAACGGGCGGCAAACAACTCCCAAATCTACCGTTCAAGACTCAACATGATCGTGGTCTCAGATGACTACTATGAGTCGGAATGACTCTGAGTCCATTTACCGAAGCTCAGGCTCAGTGACGGCAATCATGGCGGACTTCTCTTTGGTCCTCACGTTCGACTCTTCGTAGCCTGGACTTTCGCATTGGGCCGCATATCAGCATCAGGGCTTGCTCGGAGCACCAGTATACCGGACACTCGGCTGCGCTGACGTTCACTCGGTTCCTGTTCAGTACTGGCCTGGGATGAAACACGAATTATCCTATCCTAGATTCAGTGTGGCCAGTGTGGACAAGGTTCAATCTGAAATATCCACTACTTTAAGGTTCGTCTCAAGGCAAACTTTGTACGGTCAGGCAATGTCTCATGGTTCTTTCTTCCAGGCATATCTCGGATGGCGTTAGACTCACTAAGCCGGCTCCCATGATGTTGGACAGGCCTTATCATAAGCCTGTCATTGGGTCTCGACACATCTTATGCTGTTCTGCTCAACGCAACATAGACGCACAACATACCAGAACAGAGAAGCCTGTCAGTCCATCCACTCGCGGCGGTGCACTGCCATACCGATATGCATATAGAGCCTAGCTATACTCCACGCCTATGCATACCACGTCCCGCCTTCCACTGGTACCGCCACACAATGGGGGCGCTCCCTATAGCAGAAGCGCAGCTGGTTGCGCTCTTCATGCAGAGTGTGACCTACGGCGTCCACATGGTGACGTTCGCTATCTGCATATATACTTGGTTCAGTCGCTCGAGCAGCTCCTGGACATCGGCGTCGAGGATTTGGTTGTCTGTCGCCATCGCCTTCTTCGTCATCGGCACTTGCGATGTCTCCTTCAATTTGTATCATAATCTCATGGCGTTCGTCCTCCCTACGGCGTCCTCCGGCGCAAACACTGTTTTTGATCAAGCGAGCAATTGGGTCAACGTGATTCGCGTACGTACATAGTGCATTGGGTCGACTTGTATGACTGATGCAAGGTTCGCTCTAGAGCGTTTGGTTCTATATCGGTGCTTCCCTCTCCGACGCAGCCTTGGTAAGGGCAATGTTTGAATATATGTATCTGCGTGTATTCACTTTTGCGTATGTAGATTTACCGGTGCTGGATGGTGTATGCCAGTTCACGCCATCGGGCGATAGTCGGAATAGTACCTCTGGTACTCTGGCTCGCATGCATAGCCTTCGCGGTAATGATTTTATACATCTTGGGCACTTTGGATGCGGATACCACTATACCCGAGATACCACAATTGCAGCCATACCTATACTCGTTCTATTTGACGACAGTTGTCCTGAATCTCCTCACAACCGGTGCGTTGTCTTCCAGGTCCCTGGTGTATGACATAAACATTTCTGACGCTGTAGCATTGTCGGTCGCAGGTCTAATCATCTTTAGACTGTGGAGGGCTCATAAGCGCACTTCATCGTTCTTCACGCGGAGCTGGCGCGTTCGGAGTCGACTCAGCTTAGCGAATGTCATCTTGATTATGGTCGAATCCGCGCTTCTGTACACCACAACCGTCGTGATCAGCGTCGTCTTGGACCTTGCAAGATCGAATATGTACTACGGTGTCGCTGACATTGTGAGTACTCTACAATTGATGACTGTTGTACCTGAGCTTTTGACGCTGATTCGTAATCTGTAGGGCCTCGAAGTCGCCGGCATTTCTTTCGATATGATCATCATCCGTATCTGGACCGGGGTATCGACGGAGCAGACGCAGGCGTTCGCAGCAACTCTGCCAAACTTATCGAAGTCGAAAACGGAACCAGGGGACCAGGTCGTCTCTGTTCACTACGGCTCAGAAGATCTGAACGCGGCCGAGCTTGTGGTTTCCCGTGTCGAAGTGATCGAGTGGCAGGGAGCTGATGAGAACCCTGTCTGATGTTTGACATCGTTCAGTGACCCTCGACTCCGCTGCTGCTCGTGATTCCTTCTTATGTATAACGGGTCATACAAAGTATGGTAAGGCTCTGTAGCAACGTAGTATATGTATTCTGCGACGCTTGTACGAGGTACTGCGGTGCTACCAAACTTGAAAGCACAGACCCGTCGACCGTGCAACAGTATTTACCACTGATTAGCTAAGGATTGGCTATTGCCCTCGTCAAACCACTGGTATTCACAAGACCAGTCACTTTTCTATCGGCGCGTTCACTTCGAATCCTGCGACAGGCGGAGCCAGGTCAACTATATGTGAACCTACAGCTATGCTACGTACAACATTCGAACACACGTCATACATAGCTTAGTGTGTACATCAGTGAGCAGCAAACACAGCGCTGTGCTTGACGCAAAGTTCGCAGACAGACTGGCAGCTTGCACCGTACAAACGAGAGCAGCCATTCCTGTCAAGAGTCGTTCTTGCCATCGACGAAGCAAATGGTGCGAAGGTTGTCAACAAAGGGCGATACTGCCCTGCTGTGCTCCACCGAAGTCGCCTCTCGGGTGTCTCGTCGTACTTCACGCTGTTTATCCAGCCCATATGCAAATCGTGGGCTCTGCTCCGCCGTGACGGCACGCTAGATCCGTATGACGACTTCGAATGTGATGCCGGCGAGCTCCGTGCCCAGATACTGAGGAAACGTCAGTCGCTGCGAGGTCGTCTCGTACAATGTTGCTTACAAGTTCACCGGTGCCGCAGTAAGCATCCGACATTGCGAGCTCAACGGCGACACTGGCTCCGATCGAGAGGGTAGTGCAGGCTGAACGAATATCCAAATGACACTCTTGACGCGGTCTGTGCCAAGCCAGCTGCTCCTGAAGAGGGCAGTGGTATGATGGCCGGATGTACGTCCTAAATGCCATACACGATCAACTTGCCTGGACGTGGTCGTTTGAGCATACAAACTGAGGAATGTGTCTCGCGCTGAGCGCACCTGTCGCCATGTTCGATGCAGGGGTTGTGACGAGGTACATGGTCAAGTCCGGTCGAAGACATCCATGGCCACGACCCGGCAGTTCTGAGTGGGCCTCGGAGTGTAAACCAGGTATACACGCACTGGGTGACCGGTCACCTTGACGCCATACGAGATGGGTTCCATGCACAAAGCGACCAGCTGTCGGGGATGTACATAGGCGCATCGCTGCCAAGTACGTTCGGTATACGACAACAACGAGTCGCCGATTATGTCCTAGCACAATAAGCCAGACGCCTCGGCATTGCAGCATCATCAAATCATATCTGACCTTAGAGCATAGTAATCCACACGAATCCCACGACCTTCACCATTGACGTGAACGTTTGAACCACGAGAAAGATGATCAGTCTCCCGAGTCGCGCTGGGGCCCCGACTGGCATCGACGAATTGCGGTCCATCATGTTCAATACATCGAGGTCGTGCCCTATCGGCAGGGTGTGCACTGCCCACAGGACTCGTGTTTGTGAAACTGGAGATAGTGCCAGTGCTGAGGTGCCAGAGAAGATAACGCAGAGAAAGGTACTTACGTGAGCGAAGCCTGCAACCGCCTCTCCCGTAGGTAGACTATAAAGCGACCTTTTCAAGTGGGGGAGGACGGTCACATATCATTGAGACAATGTTAGTGCTCTTGTTCATCGCGATGACTTCGCCCGTTCCGATTGCAGGTCCTTGAGCGAGTCGTACTTAGTCGAGTCCTAGTGTCCGTTGCAGACCATAAAAGCCGACAAGCGTCTATTATGGTCGAGTCCATCCTGACGTACGATATGAGTCTCCGGATAGACTAGAGTTCTCAAATCAACTCACAGTACCTCCTCACACCGCTTGATAGGCAGAACAGGGACGGAACTTCTGCTGGCAGGAATAATTCCGAGAAGCTTGTACCACCTGTGTACCACCCACTGATCAAATCGCCACAGTGCTTCTTCAAGAGGTCCTTGAGCGGAACACCCATCTCCTCAGCTCCTAGACGACACAGAGGTTATTCACATGCCAGCTGATGCAGTACAGCTTCGTACCCCGGTTCCGTGGGCGGCCAAAGCCCGCAAACCACTCTGAGCCGTGCCTGTACATACTAGATGGTTGGCGCTGGCACTACAACGGTCTCGACGTTCGCCAGCCTCCTGTGGTCGGACAGCTTGCCAAGCCGACGTCCGCGGGGAAAGTAGTAGTACTACTACCTTTGGCGGCTCTTCTGGTCTGTGACGGAGACAAAACAGAGACGTGGAGGTCCTGGTCCAGGCCGCGACAGTCCGTACCGGCGGTGGATACCGGGCCGAGGCCCGAGGATCCCTGAGACTGGGTCAATCGACTCGAAACATGCACTCGCAGCATCTATATACGTTCGCGTCGACATGCTTTGCTTTTGTATCACCCATCGTGAACGGCGTACAGGCGGTGTCCTACCAAACACTTTACATGGTACGTAGCTGATATCGCTGCTGAGGAAGACAGGTTGGCAGAGCTCAGGCTCGAGGGAGGCCCGGGGACATTCTTACAAGCTGTACATATCTGCTCGACTCGGACGGAGGACACCATAGCTCCAGGTCTCAAGTCACTTCATACGGAATGGATGGCGGCAGGCTATCTCGTCACTGAGGCTGTGGCCGGACTGCCGCCGTTCGAGTGTCGTGGATCTCGGTGTCATCCCCCTGACTCGGAAAAGGCATCGTACGTACCAACCCACTAGTATTATATGGCTGATCGGGTACGCAGCCCCAGTCTGCTCATGTTCGTTCTTCGTAAAGGCAGAGGTATGCACTCTCACCATCGACCGCAAACGCATATTGCTAAGGCGACTGTCAGTAGCAGCCATATGTAGCCTGGCAATCGAGATCGGATGATCTGGATTGCCTCTCTGTGGTTCTTACGCTCGAGTTCTGTAGCCTGAACTCCTGCACTGGGCATGTATCAAGGGACCGGGCGTATTCGGAGCGCCACTATATTGGACAACCCGCCGTGCTGACATTATTCGGATCCTCTTCAGTGCTGGCCTAGGAATGGAAACGCGAGGTCTTCCACCGCAGACTCAGTGTGGTCAACTTAGGTGCGATTTGAAGGATCCGCTCTACCTTAGCTCTACCGCAAGGTTCGTCTCAAATCAATATATGGTCAGGCAATGTCTGAATTGGATTTCTTGACTCCAGGCACATCTCGTCCGACGTCAGACTGTCACACAGCACTCATGAGGTCGGACAGGTGTTATCGTAAGTCCACCGCTGGGTCACATCTGTTATTCTCGAGTCAACCTAACATAAGCATGTAACATATCGAGGATAGCGAAGCTGTCACGCCATGCACCCGCGGCAGTGCACCGCCATACCGACATGTATATAGGGCACAACTCTACTCTATGTTCAAGGTATCAACGTTCTGCCACATACCACGTCCCGCCGAAGTCCCATTGGTACCGCCACACGATGGGGGCGCTCCCTATAGCAGAGGCGCAGCTGGTCGCGCTCTTCATGCAAAGTGTAGCCTACGGCGTCCACTTGGTGACGTTCGCTATCTGCATATACACCTGGTTCCGTCGTTCGAGCAACTCCCGGACATCGGCGTCCACGATTTGGTTGTGTGTCGCCATCGCCTTCTTCGTCATCGGCACTTGCGACGTCTCCTTCAACTTGTACCACAATCTCATGGCGTTCGTCCTCCCTGCTACAGCGTCCTCTGGCGCGAAGACTGTTTTTGACGATGCGGGCAATTGGGTAAACGTGATGCGCGTACGTAGTGCATTTGGCCAGCGTGTTTTGTGTGACTAATGCAAAGTTCACTTCACAGAGTGTTTGGTTCTATATGAATGCTGCCCTCTCCGACGCAGCCTTGGTAAGGATAAAGTTGGGAAATACGTACATCAACGTGTATTCACTCTTGCGTATCTAGATTTACCGGTGCTGGATGGTGTATGCCAATTCACGCCATCGGGCGATAGTCGGAATAGTACCTCTAGTACTCTGGCTCGCATGCATAGCCTTTGCCGTCACGATTTTGTACTACCTGAGCACTGTGGGTGCGGATACCACTATACCCATGATCCCGCAACTGCAACCCTTCCTATACTCGTTCTATGTGACGACACTTGTGTTGAATCTCCTCACGACCGGTGCGTTGTATTCCAGGTTCCGACGTATGTCAAATGTGTCTCTGACGCTGTTGCATCGTCGGTCGCAGGTCTAATCATCGTCAGACTGTGGAAGATTCATAGGCGGACTTCAGCAGACTTCGCACAGACCTGGCGCGTTCGAAGTCCGAGTCGACTCAGCTTCGCGGATATCATCTTGATTATGGTCGAATCCGCGCTCCTGTACACCACGACCGTCGTGTTCTGCGTCGTCTTGGATCTTGCCAGGACAAATGTGTACTACGGGATCACCGATATCGTGAGTCCCCCACATCGGACGACTGTCGTACAGCTTTTGACATTCTGGTTTGCCATTCGCAGAGCCTCGAAGTCGCCGGTATCTCCTTCGACATGATCATCATCCGTATCTGGACCGGGGTGTCGACGGAGCAGACGCAGGCATTCGCGGCAACCCTCCCCACCCCGTCAAAATTGACAATGGAACGGATGGAACAGGCAGCCTCTGTTCACTCAGGCTCGACGGATCTGCGCGTGATCGATCTTGCGGTTTCTCGTGTCGAAGTGGTCAAGTGGCAAGGATCTGACGAGAACCCTGTCTGATGCTTGGCGACCATCGACTACGGTGCTGGTCAAGATCCCCTTCTGCGTGGCAGGCTATGAACTACTTTTGTAACTTATATCCCGAGAGGTGAGGGACATAAAACATGTATTATACGACGCTTACACGAGATGCTGCGGCTACCGAACATGAAACCACGATCATGTCGAACGCAGCAGAACCACACACCAGTCAATTCTGCCTTCGAATAGCCCCAGCTCTCCGCCGGTGAGCTTGTGGCGTCCTCTGCATCGAGGCCAAAGTCATTGAAGATTCATCAAGAGCCCATCGTTATGGCGGCTCACCGCAGTTCCACAGGGCCCGTCATACCCAGTGGTCATATCGAGGACAGTCGCCATACTCGTACCTGCGCTTCTAAAAGTGCCCATGTTGCCAGTCAAAGTGGTAGTGGTGTTCGGGAACCGTAGTCCTCTCTGTCCCGCGGTCGGGATGTTTTCCGTTGAAAAGTCGAACCTGACCACATTGATCCACGCAACGACGTTCGCGGCTTGGACTTTCCTGGGGATCTGCAAGCTGGTTATGGGTGACTGTCGTTGTCTTTTGCATCGATGCTCGTGTTGGCACCATCAACTCCTCACAACGTCTCCGTACTTCGCTTCTCTGCATCAGGGGTGTCACTCACAATACAGTGATAGGGGCGGAAGCCAGGTACAAAACAGTATAGATGAGGCTACAAATACTCTACAACATTTCGTTATGGTACTATACAATGATACGCTTCATAGCATTACACCAATGAGCAGGAAAGCAACAAATTACTCAACGAGGACGTCATTCAAACCTCGCGGCGTGCGTCGCAGTCGAACGTACTGACCGCCACTAACGCCGTCGCCGTCTAACAGACACTCAAGGCCAGTCCTTGCCATCTTCGATGCGAACGGTATGAAGGCTGACGACAATGGGGGACACAGCCCTACTGCGCTCCATCGTATGCACTTCCTGGGTATCTCTTCGCTCGTCGCGCCCTCGCCCCTGCGATTGTGCAAAGTGAGGGGTTTGCTCCGCCGTGACGCCACGCCAGATGCGTATGATGATGAGGTCGAATGTGATGCCCGCAAGCTCCACGCTCTGATAACAACAACGCAACAGTGTTAGCCGCTGTGAGACGTCCAAGAATGTCGACAGACTTACAAGGTCGCTGGTCCCGTAGTATGCGTTCGATCCCGCGAGCTCGACGATGATGCTAACCCCGACCGAGAGGGTATAGAGCAGTGCAGACTCGACGAATATTCGCATTGCACTTCTGATGCGGTCTGTGCTACACAAGCTGCTCTTGAAGAATGCAGTGGTCTGATGGTGTATGTCCCAGATGCGATATACGATCAAGCCTGGTTGTAGTCGCGTGAGTACATGAGCTGTCGGATATACGTCAGGATGAACGCACCTGTCGCTAAGATGTTCAACGCGAGGGTCAAAATGAAGTAAGCGACTAGGTATGGCCGGAGGCGGGTCGCGTCGGGTATCGAGGTCGACTCGTGAAGGGTGGAGAGGACTACGATGTCCATGACTGCGCAGACGATGGCCCCGAGGCAGAGCAGTATGGGTATGAAGAGGATGAACCAGTGGTGCTTCTTGAAGTCATACTGTTTGTAGACGATCCAGCAGCGAGCAGTCTGGTGCTGCGTTAGCACAAACAAAGAGACAACGGCGAGCAGGGTACTCACAAGGGCGATATCAGAGACCACGGCACTCGATCGAGCCCAGACGCTCTGAACGCTGGTGAGCATAGGGTGGCTTGCAAAGTGGTCATACTACTGACCCGCATGACGTCGACCCAGTTCGACATATCATTGAACTGATATTCTGCGCCGCCTTTCCCCGAGTAAAGCACGAAGGCCATGATGTTGTGGGCCAGGTTGAACGAGACATCGAGTGTCCCGATAGCGAATAGAATGACCGCAACAAACATCCATGGCCACGTCTTGGATGTTCCACGCGAGCGCCGAACCGTGAACCAGGTGTACATGCACTGCGCGAAGGTAACCACGTGGATGCCATACGAGACGGATTCCATGAACAGGGCGACCAGCTGGGCCTCTGTGATTGGAAACGCACGGCCAGAGTTGGGCATGGACGACATCGTAGGCTGGGTGCTTGAAGGGGACCAGTTTTCAATCGTGGAGAGCGTCGCTATCGCTCGCTGCGTCGTTTTTGTGCGGGGATAGGCTCTGCGGAGATGGCCCCAGTCCCGGGGCGCGCGCTGCCAGCATGCGATAGATAACTGTGGTTCCCTGCGAACACGTCAAGCTAGATATGGGCCTCCTGCACCTCACTAAACTTTGACTGATTGCATCCGCAGCGCATGTCGGCGTCTCCCGACAGAGAGGATACACGTGGACCTTGCAGAGTTCTGTCAGGAACGGAGATGTTCGCGTCGAGAGCAGGTCGTGTGCGCCTACTACATAGTACAAGTCTTGTGTCGGATGTGACTGAGCGGTTCCGAACCGACTGAACAAAATCAATTTGTTAGACAGCTCCCAAAGGCACTTGGTAGCTCCTCTTACCCTGATCCAGTTTCAGCTACCCACGACAACGGGCTTATCTCAGGAGGGAGGAGGTGTTCGAGTCACGGCGAGTGCTTGGTATCACCAAGCAGCCCCGGAGCAGCCCTGCAGGATGTTGAGATGATCATGAATGCGATATTAGACCGCTACCGACGTATGATGAAAGGGTGGCTCCTCGAACACTAATCAGTCGCTAGAAGTGCTCACCTGTCCTGGATTTCAGGGGTAGGCATATTGTATCGCTGCCAAGTACGTTCGCTCTTCGACAACAACAAGTCGCTGATTACGTCCTAGCTATACAGACAATTAGCCAAAATTAGCCAGACGCTTCGGCATTACAATCGTTCAATTGCCTGACCTCAGAGCATAACCCACACGACTCCCACCACCTTCACCATTGACGTGCACCACGAGAAAGATATGATCAGTATCCTGGCCAACAAGCAGGGCCGAGTCAAGGCATGTAATGGAATGTGTCGAATGGGCTTCGCGCAAGCCCCGGATACTATAGGTGGGCTGTGCGTGCGCCTCTAGTTCCTAATTCCTGACGTCCAGCGTCGAGCGCAGCCAACGCAACGTCGTCCGTGGGGTAGCCAAATCCAAACAAGACTGACATATGGCCACCGGAACTATATACATGCAGCGCTTGCATGCGTCCTTACTGTATCCCATTCTACCGCCGCCACCGTTCACTGCCGCACGGGCGGCGCGACCTCCGGCAGGTTCGCGCCCATGTTGTCCGGGAGCGCCAGCGTCGGGTCCGTCTGGCTATTGAGACGACCACCAAAGAGCACAGTCCCGTTCTCCGCGCGGAACTGCTCGATGCGCTTCTCGACTTCTGGGCGGAAGTGACGCATGAGGCCTTGAATCGGCCATGCCGCGGCGTCGCCCAACGCACAGATCGTGCGGCCCTCGACCTGCTTGGTGAGCTCGAGCAGCATGTCAATCTCGCGCTGGTGACCCCGGCCCTCGACGAAGCGGTCCATCATGTTCATCATCCAGGTCGTGCCCTCTCGGCAGGGCGTACACTGCCCGCAGGACTCGTGTTTGTAAAACTAGGGACAATGCTGGATCAACCGAAGAAGATAACGCAGAAGAAGGTACTTACGTGAGCGAAGCGTGCAATCGCCTTGACAATGTCAGTGCTCTTGTTCATCACAATGACCGCACCCGTTCCGAGGCCCGATTGTAGGTCCTTGAGCGAGTCGTAGTCCATCCTGACGTACAACATGAGTCTCCGGCTGGACTCAAGTTCACATGTCAACTCACAGTGCCTCCTCGCACTGCTTGATAGGCAGAACAGGGACGGAGCTGCCGCCAGGAATAATTCCGAGAAGGTTGTCCCACCCGCCAATCACGCCACCACAGTGCTTCTCGACGAGGTCCTTGAGCGGGATACTCATCTCCTCTTCAACCACACAAGGGTTGTTCACATGCCCGCTGATGCAGAACAGCTTCGTGCCCTGGTTCCGTGGGCGGCCAAAGCCCGCAAACCACGCTGATCCGCGCCTGCAGATAGTTGGCGCCACCGCGACGGTCTCGACGTTCGCCACAGTGGTCGGACAGCCAAACAAGCCGACGTCCGCAGGGAAAGGCGGCTTGAGGCGCGGCTTGCCTTGCTTGCCCTCGATCGACTCAATGAGCGCCGTCTCCTCACCGCAAATGTAAGCACCCGCGCCACGGTGCAGGTACACGTCGAAAGCATATCCACTTCCGCAGGCGTTCTTGCCGAGAAGGCCCGCGGCATACGCCTCGCTGATGGCCTGCTGTACGTGAGACGCCTCTTGGAAGAACTCGCCACGGATGTAGATGTACGCCGCGGTCGCGTTCATCGCACGGCCAGCTACGAGACAGCCCTCGATGAGCTTGTGTGGGTCACCGCGCAAGATCTCTCTGTCCTTGCATGTCCCCGGCTCTCCTTCATCAGCGTTGACGACGAGGTAGCGGGGTCTAGCAGAGGTCAGCTTGATCTATAAGCAGGGACATAGGGAACGGACCGTGGATCTTTCTCCCATCCAGGCTTGTTCATGAAACTCCATTTCAATCCACTGGGGAACCCAGCCCCTCCACGACCCCTGAGACCGGAGTCCTTGATGGTCTGGATAATCCACGAGTCACCCTTCAGAACGATATCCTTCGTTTTGTGCCAGTCACCCCGAGCCTGGATAGAATGGGGTTAACAGAGGGGTAGCCGGGCAGATTTGAACGACCTCACCTGTGCGCCCTTCAATCCGTGATCATGTCTGCAGTTCGCATTAGTGAAAATGCGGTCTTGGTCCTTCAGGCCCCCGTATCGCCTCGGCGGGGGGTCCTGCACCGTAGCGAACGACCGCCGCAAGTTGAGCTTCGCCCGGAAGGGCCTCGCTATTTCTGTGAAAGACATTGAAAATAATGTTAACACTGATTGCATGCGGTCAGAAATGGAGGAGACAGCGACGCACGCGAGGAGGACGATGCTCTGAGCATCGTCGTGGTCGATGAGCAAAGGGTGTCTGGCGATTGGCCCAGCCGCCGCCGTATGACGGGCCAGCGACCGCGAGCGCTTACTGATCGTACCCGGGCAACCCCGAGTTCCGCCACCCTATTTTCCCGGCACGTGCGATTCCCGACGCGCGACCGGCCCGGGCAACGCGTCGACATGGTCCGGTCGAGTCGTCGAATTGGAATCTCCAGTCAAGCAAGTCTGCAAGTTGACTCTGACCGGAACGATTGCTGTGTCGCCTGCCTGATTGCCCAGTTGTAAGTAATTGATCTATAGCAGTATATAGATATGATGGATCTTCATGCCGATTGATCATATATCTGCGTTCGATGAATAGTTCGAGTCGCTGTAAGCTGGTGTACAAACTCTTCCATTTGACACCTGGCATTGTACATGTGGTGACACTGCAAGACATGTATTTGGTGGGGAATAATCAGGTCATTTTCATTCGTATGCTGCTGATACCCAAGATATGTTCGTATGACATTCTCGCGCGAACTCATATGCGCAGCGGCTTCATGCCGCATCGCGTGGAGACCATGAAGGATTGTTCACAGCGATCGGTCCTACGCCTCCTTCGATCACATCGTCGACGACGAGGTCGAGAGTGGGAGCCACAGCCTCGTCCTCCAATGCCCACAACGCGACAGCAATAGTGCTAATCGCAACGGTCAACAACGTCCTATGAAAGCTGCGGCGCACTTACTTCGTCCCTTGGTAGTTCAGAATGCCCTGAGGGACCGGGTACTTCGTCTGGGGCCCGATGTTGGCAACGCGCTGCCAATGATATTGAGACAACGCATGACTCGGCTATTCATCCGGACTTACCTTGCCGTAGTTCCACCCATTGACAAACAGGAGCGCCCGGTACGTTTGATTAGTGGTGTCGAACTGGAACGAGATCAACGTGTCCGTCTCCTCGGGAATGGAGAGGTCGAACGTCGTGACGAAGAAGCCGACACCTGGCCCGCTAGACGGGAGGCCCTCGGACAAGTTCCGCGCGGTCCAGTCGGACGTGTCATATCCTGGGAGGTGCCAGCCCTGGCGTTCGCCGTACAAGCCGCCCTCGTTGAGCACTCCACGGAGTTTGTCCGGATAGCTGCGAGAGTGGTCAGTTGACGAGTCATCAGGAACATCAAGGCACTCACTCTGTGTAACCACCGAGCTTGCCCTGAACGCGCCATTCGGTGAAGTTTCCGGCGTTGAGCTGGTAGCCAGGGATACCGCGGGGCGACTTTTCTGCGTAACAAAAGAGATTTTAGGTTCACATCGACACCAGCGACCAGGCGAATAGATGAAACACCATTAGGGGACTCATCGTTGCCTGATCCATCCTGCGTGCATTCTCAGTTCGTTGATATTCCAGAACACTCTCCCTCACTCACCTGTATGACAGTGATCACATTGTCCTGCCCGATGAGCACGGAACCCGCCGGGAAGGCATAGACTTGAGTCGTCTGTTCATTTGGTATGCTCCATGTTGAGTCGAGGAACTGGCCGTTCAACCAGACAGATCCGGCGAAACCTGTAGGTATTATTTCAGCGTGCGATGCGTTCCGGATAATCTGAACCATCACCTTGTCCACCATTGATGGTGAGGTTGACGGACTTCGACGACTCGGTGCCGTTGAAATGGCCCCGCCAGAGAACAATGTTCTCACAGCTGCAAACAGAGGTGCGTCAGCGTCCACCATGCAGCCTTCATGATTGACTCACAAGCCGTAGTCACAGCCTAATAATGCGCGATCAGCACGGTTTGGTCTGGTATGAACTTCTAGCGCTCACCAAACAGTATCCGACCGTCACCGTACAGGTAACCCGGGATGTTCGTCGTCGTGTGGTTCGCAACCGTCCACTCCGCGTCCGAGTAGTTGGCAGACACCTCCGGCAGGCTGTCTGCGTACTTCCACCCTGTCAAGGCGGGCACGCTGATCGAGCTCAACGAAGTGCTTGTTTGGAGATAACCGCTCAGTATACCACCCGTCGACGTCAGCGAAGCCGTCTGGACCTCAGCACCGTTCCAGGTCACAGACGTCACGTCCTCCGGTGCCACGACCGTGAGCATCACGCTCTGGTTCAGGTCGCCCCGGAGAGCAAGTTGTCCCGCGGAAATGCTGGCGTTGCGGACGAGGTATGGCCCACCGACGAGCACGGACTCGTTCGACCCGAATTGCCAGTAGTTGTTGAATGTAGCGGCGGTTGCAGACGGAATGACGGGTGCCCAGAATGTAGCGGCGGTAACGGAGTCAGCGTATAGCACGAGCTGTGAGGCGGACTCGAAGACAGTCACTACGCCCTGAATGCCCGACAGCAGCGTGACCGTAACGGGGCCAGTGCTGGCGTCCCCGGAGAACGACGCTTCGGACGCATTCGCGCGTGTGCCGTTGCCAGACAGTGTCAGGGCCACCTCGCTTTCCTGATTGGGGTCGCCGTACAAGAACAGGACATCGCGACTGCCGATGGTGCTGGCATACAAGATGCTGGCCGTCGAGTAGAGCACCTGCGAGTCGGCACCGTATGAGTAGTCTGTCACGATGATCTTGCTCTGCCTGCCGTCGAGCGCAATGGACGAGATCGTTTGCGGAATAGACAGCGTCCCGGCAGATGTAGGGGCGGAGATACGGAATGTGACGTTCGCGCTAAACCAGATTCAGCAACCTGCAGCGTTTGGCAGACACCGAATGCTTACAGAGAGCTGGAGTTATCCTGGCGCGCGATGAAGAACCCTGACCCCGTATCGGGGTTGCGCAGGTAGGTCACATAGACCCCTGTCCCGTTGACGGTCACATCGGGAATCGTCGTACTCGTATCGCCCACCCAGTCGGTCTTGTAGAACTCGGGCGAGCTTCGCAGGAAGAGCCCTTGTCGCTTGAGTTCATCGTACTTGTCCGACAGGGCCCGGTTCTCGCGAATAGGAGAACCGTAGTCGTAGCTAGACGGACGAGCCTGTCAGTCATGGTTCTATCTAGTCCATCGTCTGCACCGTACCTTGTGTAAACTCCTGGGTAAGGCAACCCCGCCCAGCTTGTTCCACTGTGGTTATTAGTGTCAGTAAGGGAGTCGTGGGTCGATAGCTCGGATGAATACCGACCCGTAGATCATATAGAACGAGATGAGTTTCACGTTAGACGCCCAGTTTTGCTTGTAGAACACGTCCATGAAGTCGGGGCCCGTCAACGTCTCGCACGCATTATATCCAGGTCCACCCCACGGGTCAAAGGAGCCACCTATTGCATGCAAAATGTCAGGACTAACATACGTTAAGGAGAGACCTGACGCACCTTGGAACTCAGGCATATACCAAGGCTCGCCGGGGTTAGTCGTCTCGTGGTATGAATGGTAGTTAGTTACAACGGGGCTCCAAACGTAAGGGTTTGAACAATCGAAGCCTTGAGGATATGAATCCTACGAATGTGCAGTGTGTGAGCGCAAGCAAGCAATCGCCCACTCAGCCGAGCATACCAGTCCGTAAATGTTGACCGCGCCAGTTCCGTTCACGAAGTTCTTCCCTTCTCCAGGGTCGTTGTAGGTCCTGATACCACAGTGAGATATTATAACCACAGAAAATCGCATGCGAGTTGGCTCACAAAGGGATGACGATACCAGCATCGCGGTAAGCGGACTCCAGCTCTTCGAAGTAGACACCCGTTTCCGGCGATTGATAATATTCATTGTCTAGCGAGAATTCAGTGTTCTACGCCTCACATCCCCGCAGAAATAAGCCTCACCGACTTGGATCACTGAGCGACATTCAGCACACTGTTTTGTCATGGAAGCATGCTTACAGACTCACCCAGGATCGGGCCACCATCGGTAACTTCGTTGCCAATGACGCTAGCAGCGACTTCTCCGATGTAAGGCGTCCACGCATCGTAGTAGTCCGTAGCGTTTGTTCGCAGCGTTCCGGCCACCTCGCTGGTCGCCCAGAGAGCGATACCTCCAGCAGTGGTTTCCGCGTTGATCTACAGCAAGTTAGCTTGAGCATACCAGTGTGTGCGTCATTGCTCACGTATGGGCCTATACAACGAGACGTCAGAGAAATTATACACATAAGTTGATCACAATACGTACCAGGTCGAAGAGTGATGAAGAGACCCGCTTGCTTGGCAGCATCGTAGATGGGTTGCAAAGCTCGCCAATCATCAAAGTCGAGCACCCCAGGAGCAGGATTCGTCAATGCCCCTGGACAGCGAAACGATGTGAGCTAACACCCATCTTGGCAGCCACATACAATCAAGACGTACAATGTATATACACACTGGCACCATTCAGCCCTGCTGCCGCCATTTTCTGGAAGATGTCGAGCCACAAGTCGGGCACCGGAAGACGCCAGGTATGGAATTCCCCAAAGCTGTGACCAAATGTCAGCATGAGTACCCACTGATCATGTCGCGACTCACTAAAGGAACATGCGCTGATCGTTGAGGAAGACTGTGTAGTTGTCCCATTGTACGGCGTCGGTGTAGTTGTCAGACTGGCGCGGAGGGTCTGCGCGAGCGACGATATCCTGGAAGACCTCAGCATCGCGCAGCTCCACTGCACTCGAGCTCTTAGTCAAAGGCCCGGTCAAAACAACTAGCACGAGCGATAGCAATGCGGGCAAAGCCCACGATGAGAGCCGTTGCCACAGCATTCTGGCGGGTGTCCGGTCCTCGCCTCCCGTAGGTAGCTTGTTTTTATGGTGTTCCCACTTGATCTGGTCATCTACATATGACGGCAACGCATGCTTCCGGGAGAACCGTGGGGTCATCGTTGGCAGCGGTCCGGAATGTGCCCAGCCTAGTACCGCGGCGAATGATTTCAACGTCGTTCAGTGGCTCGACATACAAGTTCGTGGTAAGTCGCCGCACCTTGAACCTGGTCAGTTTCCCAATGAACTATGGCCTAGCCTGTCAGTACTCAGTCGCGAATTCAGATGTCAATAGAAACAGATAGCCTCATCGCAGCCAAGCTGGGAGCGTGGGCTTTCTGAGATGAGGATCGCGCGTCCGACGGAGCGGACGGTGCTTGGGCGGTCCATGATGCATTTCGGGCGAGATGGCTTCCAACAACAGAAGCCGCCGGCAACACGTCCCCGCATGTGATGCCGCGCCTGACCGACCTGACCGGTGACCGGTGACCACTGCCTGATCCTCCTCACTGAGTACTGTTCATACTTAAATAATCTGCATTCTGACATCCTGACATATCACGCCAACAGCGGACCGCGTCGTAAACCGTTTAGGACGAATGCTGCAGGGATTCATGGCAGTCAAACGACACGTCAAGTGACACGACAATGCCGCTCAAAGGCGCAAGGACTTCCTAAGTAAAAGATGGCACTACTCGGAGGCGCGCTGAATGGTTCGACTACCTTCCTATATCTGCCAATATCTGTGAAGTAGCTCAGTGCCCCCAAATAAACAGGCTGACGTACCGAACGAGAACCCGAGACAGATGCAGTCGACGGTGAACTAGCAAATTCAATGAGAATAATACCACGTCCTGGTCAGATGACAGGCGGCAACAGTCACGGTGTTTCCGCTAGTCTCTGTACATGCGAACGAGATTAACTTTGAGGCTCACTCGTTGGGAAAATCTTGCCAAAGAGCTTGCACGGGCTACCATTATCCAGTAAACTTCCCTCAGTCGGCTCCACCATTCAGTGTAGCCCATCAACCACACAACATGTCTAGACATGCCGAGTCTGATGCATGATGCCTAGCAGCCCAGTCGTACTATGTATGCGCGATGAGCGTCCTTCAAGTTCACTGGCACTTTCCGAATCAACGAGAAACACGCGAAGCGGCCACTCACAAAGCGACCCCGGGCCTGCGGCTCTGGGCTCCGGCTCCCACAGACGTGAGTGTACGAATCAAGTGTCCAAAGCACGAGTGATGTCCGGATTCCGGAGTGACTGACCACGAGTGCATGCCATTGAGACCTGGATCAGGGACTTAAGTTTAGCAGCGACGGCGAGTCGTACTTGGCGAATAGCTATGGCTAGGTGAGTCGAAGACAAGGAGGCATACCAGTCAGATCGATTCGAGAACGCAGTCTACGACTGCACATTTCTTCTCCTCCAGGACCACTCTGATCGCCTCCGAGAAGGCGACGGGTAGATCCGACGCACCCTCAACCCGACGGCCCCAGGCGTCCCCAGCAGCAACAGCGATCTGGGAATAATTCGGCGGCTTCGGCCCAAAGCTTGTGGTAAGACGCTGGCCTGAAGCCTTCGCGCCGTGTCCTCGTGGGTGAACGACTGTCATTGACCGTCCAGGAGACTAGCATGGAGCGTTAGCCAGTGCAACTCACGCAACATGGGTTCGACGCACCAGCCATCCGCCATTGTTCAGCACGATCGTCAAGAACGGCTGGTGCATAGTCAGGTAAGCAGCGACGTGCTCGCACATCAAGAGGCACGTACCGTCTCGTACCGGCTTGCGATCCAGTACGCAGTACTCGGTGCCCCAAACAAGAAGTCCCCGTCGCCTACAATTGCGACGATGATGTCATATTGCTTCTGAGCAACGACACTCCCCATGTGCGCACCAATCGCCCCGCCGAGAGCGTATCCAAGGCTGGACCCTCCTGACATGAGCATGCTGCCGGGGGCGTTGGGCTGAATATGGTTCCAGATGAAGCCAGCGTTGCTGATCCCTTCATTCAACCATAGGACGGTTTGGCCTTTGCTAGGCGTATGTTCGTGTACCGCAGACCGAAGCGCGCCCAGGAGGTAGGGAATTGTCGGCAGCGTCGTACCAGGGGTAAGAGCCCGTTCAGCAGTATCGAGGTCGGTGGTCCAGGCGGTATGCAACGATTCCAAGCGTTGTGCGCGCCCAGCGACTATCGCACGCGAAGGCTCGTCAAGCTTCCGCCCAGCAGCCTCCAGGAGCTGCCCGAGCGCTACCTCCGCATCCGTCTTACAGACCATCTCCGCGTCGACGTGGGTGTATCCCACGCTCTGCTTCAGCGGATCCGCGTCGATGACAAACACGCGTGCGCCACGTTTAGGTCGCGTACCCGTGACGGGCATCCATGGGATATCCGCTTCCAGGATTACGACGACATCGGCGTCCTTGAGAAAGGCGGTGCGGCCGTCCCACGAAGAGCCGACCAAGAAGGGGTGCGAGTGCGGGATGCAGAGGGCGGAAGGGCATGACGTGACGATCGCGACGGATAGCGTGTTTGAGAGGGAGGAGAGGAGGGGTACTGCGTTGGGATTGCGTCCGACGTTCCCTGTGATGATGAGAGGGAATTCGGCATGTATGAGAGCAGACACAATGGTGTCGACAGCTGACGGCGCGAGACCAGGTGGTGTGATGGGCGGCCAGCTAGCGACATCGACGCCTTGCTGTACAATGGAGGCATCGAGTTCTTCCTCCAGTGTTTCACGTCTCGCCCAAAGATATACAGGGCCCTTTGGATCACTCTGCGCACTATCAGTATTCACGTATCGTTAACGTACTACATTGATGCTTAATCAGAGGTCGGCACGTACAACTGCAAAGCCCGCATAATTGTCTTCGCAGCGCTAACACCGCTGGATATTTGGGCGGTATATCGCATGTATTGTCGTACGATAGCAGCCTGATCCGGGATATCTAGAACGTTGAACGTGACTCAGAGACTCAAGACGCAGCTCATAGATGGAAGTTCCAACCTTGGATCCACAACGGCCACTCAGTACGTGAGCCTTTTAGTTCGCCCTCTATGGTGAATGGTGATGCTCCTGCGAATATCAGCACTGGTGTCTGACCACGATCGACATTGTGTACAGCACTGGCCAACGCCTGTCGAGATAGGAATTCTATTAGTCACAATTGCAGATTCAGGGGTAGTTCGACCCCTCGATCGAGAAGGCTCGATCGGACGGATGCAGCTCGACACGGTCAACGCGTCAACGAAGAGTCATATGGACCCACATTGCACTCGTGGTCCACTGTGTCGAATAGGCTAGCCATATTCCCAAGTCGTCAGAGACAGGAGGAGATACCTCACCTGTGTCCCTACGTCCACGTGTACAATCACTGCAGCTGGCAGCCCTGCGACTTGCGAATACCCATGCGCTGCGCAAAGCGCAACCATCTCGTTCGGGCATGTTACTATCTCCAACAAGCTCTTTCCTTCCTCCACGCGCTGCCTTTCGAGGTCCTCGAGTAACGCCGAGTGGTCGCTTCCCCAGTTGACAAATGCATGTGTGACACCTGCGTCGGCCAGGGTCTTCCAGAATACAGTTGCGGTGTTGTACATCGCCAGGCAGATCGGAAGAGACGTCGAGCTATCTGGAGGATTGTGTGGTGGGCGACCATGGCACGTATCGATAGCATTGCTTTTGAGTCTCTGACCTGCGTGTCCGGACGATTGGCTTCTACTGTCTGATGGGAGCGGTCATAAGCCCCCCGTTTGCTTCTAGTGTTGATGCAATTACGTTCAGCAGATGGGACAGAATGTCATACGGCAAGACGCCCCTACCGATTGCCTCGTGGGCGGTTGCAAGCACCATGATAGTCCTCCAGGCGCAGAGTCCTCCAAGCGCACGGCCGAAGTTTGTACGACTTGCTAGCAGCATCCTCGACGCTCGTTGCCCAACCGCGCGAACAACTTGGCATTTTGTATGCCAGAAATTCCCTGAACTGGCCAGTGCGATGAAGACTTATATAGACCAACAAGGGGCTGTGACTCCCATGTCTTCGCCCCCTCGTCGGACGTCAGCATCAGGCATTCCGCATACGTGGAGAAGTTCCGGAGGTAGCAGTCAGGCTTCACGGAGTCTTGAAAGACTTGGGCAGCACAGAGTCAAGTGCTCATAACATAGTGTACGCTATCCAGACATGACAGAAGCGACTGAAAAGCTGAGAAGGTTGATTTGGGCATGATGCAGCATGGATGGGCAGACCAAAAGCGGTCGAGAATAAGCGCCACGTTCAAGGCAAGCGCAGTAAGCGCCCGTTCATGTTCAAGTTGGAACGTTGACGTCGAGTCTTGGTCGAGTCGGTCGACTGTCGACTGTCGACCATGCTCGAGTGCGCGTCCAGGTCCATGTCGTCCGTCCTGTGTACCGATCTTGGTGTGGAAGTTCAAACGTTCACCGCTCACCGCTCACCTAACTCAATGATCGATCGTGGAGCTAACTTATGAACATGGGTTCCTCGCCCTCATACAAGTACACCGACGTTCAAGCAACCTCAAGCTCAAGGAGTCTGATGTAGGAGGCCCGATGAGTTGTCGCGAGTATTCACCCCACTGTACGTTGTTATCTACTTACGGGTGACCGTTACAGTCATTGCCAGTCAATTATCAAGTACTGCGAACATTTCGATTCCGGGACCCGACCTACCATGGCGACCTGTTATGCGACTTATATCTAACTGTGAGGACACTTTAGGCTACCGTCCGTGCGCTGTGTTTTCAGGTGACGTGCGCTTTCTTGAGCATTCAGTATCACCGAGTTACGCTGATCAGTAGGATGTGACTGCCTTGTCGACTAGCCTCACTTGCGTCGTCGTGACAATGTCCGGTGACTGGTTGACGCGTCGACTTGAATTGACGACTCTGACTCGAACGGTCGTAGTCTCGCCAGAACTTTCTCCTTTTGTGTCCACGATCTCCTCCTGTGGCTAGGTTGCATGCGCTAGAATAAATATGCCATGAGTGTGTTGATGACCGACAGAATATCGGCAATTGCGTGAGGTCCAACTCTCCCACAATGCTGCATACTTTGGCTGTGCATACTGCGATGGAACGGAAGAAGTATGGTGCTGAACATCTTCATCATGAAATATGCATGATGTTGCTGCAAGCGATGGACCTCGTTTCTCTGTACTTCAAGGTGCGAGAGTTCGTGTAGTTCGTGTAGTCGTATTGAATGCTCATCCTGATTTATGAACAGACTCCGATTTGAGGGTGTTCCTGTAAGGCCTTCTCCCCGAGAGGCTGTACCGGACCCGAGCGGCTGGATGCTTACTTACCGCGGGCAAGGCCAATGGTCCTATTGCACCAGCTATTGACTCGGCATGTAACGCCATTCGCCGGCAACATATTCCTGGGTGCCGTACCTCGTGGCCAGTAATCGGGAGGTAATACGGTGAGCCGTCTTTCACATTGGGAAACTCGTTTTGTGCTGAAAGCCTTCACGTTCAATGATCAGAGTCATCCTGACCAGCTTCGCGAAGGTCAGCACTGTGCGTCCTTGCACGAGCCCAGGACACTTATGCATGCCAAAACACGTTCTCATTCATTGAAATTTTTGGCTCGACAAACGTGGACAGGGTGCAGTCACACTGCGCATTCTACGAGGCGGTGACGACAGGCAATTTGGAAGCGGCCTCGTTCGCGATGGGCCCTCCGGATGAATACCACACGGGAAGAACATCTGGAAACCTGTCTCTTTTCATAGTTCTGCATCCGCACATCCAACCTTCAGCTGAAGTTTGCAACTAGACCTACGACTCACAGCCTACCTGAGGAGGTACTGCTTCATTAATTCATGTGTACGCGCTCTCATCGCCGGAACTGTAAGCTGTCTGTTTCTCGCACACAGCATTTTACAGCTAAGTACGTCGCCTCACGTAATCAAATGGAGCCGGCGGGACAGCAATAGAGAACAAGTAAGTCTCTTCAGCACTCCGACCTTCCATTCGCTCACCACATCGCCCAGACGCACACTTCCAGAGGCCCCCGGAGATATCTCGGGCTGCTTCCTACTACTCAGTGTGCCGACGCATTGGATGCAAGCTTATACGGCTGTCCTGCCGTTAATTAATAACCTAGTCCGACGATCAAGCTTCACATGTCAGCCTCCTTCTCCGCATACTGGGTAGGACCGACGTGACCCTCAGTACTGACTCCTTGTATGCGCCTGCAACAATCCAGCCTCTTCTGGAACTCTTCGAGTGCTATATCGCGTACAGCATTCATAGACACTCCCACCACTTGGCCCTGCAATGACTCGCGGAGCGGTCGCATGTCCAAGAACGTGCTCCCGGGAGTACTATACAGACTCGCGGCGGAACGTTCCTGACGGTATAAAAGGAGCTCAGAGTCTGCGACTTACAGCCAGTCTCCTCGGACAACAGCAAGACTTCACCGAAAATGCAGCTCCGTACTCCATTCGTCCTCGCAGCCGTTGCGCTCGGTGCCCGTGCCGCGACTGTCTTGACGGGTCAGTACTCCTGCGCCACCTCGGGCAACTACGAGCTCTGCAACGACCAGTGGGGCTCCGGTAAGCATGTATACCATGGCGTGAATCCGTCGCGAAACTCAATGTTGTGTTGACTCAGGCGACGGTACCGGCTCGCAGAACTCCACTTTGGAGAGCACCAGTGGGAACAGCATCACCTGGTCCACGACCTACACCTGGGCGGACAACGAGAACGACGTCAAGACTTGTCAGTGGGCTCTCTTCCGCACGACCTGCCATGTGTTGTTACTCACACGTTGTGGTAGACGCCAATGTCCAGCCGACGTCCGGTGTCAGTGGCGTAACTGTAAGTCGAGATCATGCGACTGCCTCTAAATTATCACTGACTCTGTCCGCATTGCAGCTGGCGGATATTACTTCCGCTCCCACCACCTACAACTGGGAGTACACGTCTCAGTCTTCCGGCCTAAGGGCCGACGTCTCGTGAGTGAATCGACAATAAAAATAGATAATTCAGTCTCAACCTGCTCCTTTTAGGTACGACATCTGGACTGGAACCTCCGCTGGGGACCCGGCCTCCAGCACTTCTAGCTACGAGATGTACGTTTTGAAACTGCACCAGCTCAACTATAGCTGACACTCTCGTTACGACGCGTTATCTCAGCATGATCTGGCTCTCTGGCGAGGGGGGGTGCGTGCATTTGCAATTTTAGGGAAACTCTTCCTGATCGATCTGGTCTTCAGCATTGAACCTGTCGGTTCCCAAATCGACTCCGGCATCACAGTCGCTGGCAACACCTGGAACCTCTGGTCCGGCCCCAACTCCAACTGGCAGACCATCTCGTTCGTCTCCGCGAACGGCAACATCAACAGTTTCACCGCGGACATCAACGACTTCTTCCGTACGTCTTGATTTCCGATACGTCCACCGCACTGGCTCTGACCTGATTCTCCCGCCTCCCGCAGAGTACCTCGAGGAGAACCAGGGAGTGGACACTTCCCAGGTATGTCACTCGTGCAAAACGTTGAAAAGGGAGTTGAAGACGTTGATTTTGTTGTACAGGTCCTGCAGGCCATTCAGGCCGGAACCGAGGCATTCACCGGTACCGCGACGCTCACGGTCTCCGACTTCAGCGTCACTGTTAACACGTAAGAGCGGTCTCGCGCGCAGAAGCATAATGTCTGGGGTGGTGTGTCAATATCACAGGGGAGTGTTCGTGCGATAGTGTCGCTGTCGTAGTGTCATTCCGCCTGCTGAATAGAACCATCCGTATCGTTGACTATGAATCTAACCAACCGGACCCGACCAACTCTTAGTGCGCCACTACAACAAAATGTGAATAAATGATGCATAAGGATATGACGCACGATACAGGTATAAATAGAGGATGCAGTACAACACCGATTCAGGATCCGGTGACGACGAAGACGAAGTACTAGTACCAGCGTCCGGGGTATACAACATACTGAAAGATCGTAAGGCCACAAGCCGGCAAGGAGTCGTGTCGTAGTCGTTCAATAGGTCGTTCATACATAAAGGAACAATAAGTTATACGGGCTTTGTACAGATTAGTCCACGTTGTTAGCTGTTGAACGTTCAAAATTCGACTCACCAGAGAAAGATGTATACTCCTCTCAAACCATCGTCGCAGAGTTCCCGGTTTCCAGATGGACCTCGAAGGTGCTGATATCTGAACTCTCTTGCCACGGTGCCTTGTGAGGAGCCATCGGCGACCGAGTCATCGAATCGGCGAAGGCACGAGTTTGTTCCGTAGAGACACCTTTCCAAATGCGAATAATAATGAGATCAAACGTAAAGCCCGCAAGTTGCACGCTCTACAACCGACGCTTTCTCAGTACGAACGAAGTCAGAGGAGGCATGCTACGTACGATATCGGTTGAGGGATAGTATCCATTTGACTGGACCATCTCCATGATGACGCTGACCGCGACAGACAGCGTGTAAAGGAGGGCAGATTCAATGAAAATGCGGATCATTCCTTTGAGTCTGTCTCGTTTCCGCGAGCGTAATTTGAAGTACTCGGAGGTCAGCTTGCGTGTCTTCCAGAGCGGGTACACAATCATGCCTGCAATTCACAGCCTTGAGTCAACGCGCACTAGGGTAAAGAGTGATCCGTACCTGTGGTGACGACGTTCAAGGCTAGCGTTAACGAGAAATAGGCATACAGCCATGGGCGCATCTGTGTCGCCAAAGGGATTGACGTATACAGATGGAGGGTGCACAGATAAAAGACGTCCATGACAGCGCAGGCTGCCACGCCGAGCCAAATCAAAATCGGGAGCGCCACGACAGACCACCGCTGCGTGGAGACACTGTAGACGACCCAACAGCGGTATATCTGAACATACTCAGAATGACTCAGGCTCATGAAGATGAGCGGCATACCAAAGCAGCGTCGGAAATCAATGCACAAAGACGCGCCCAAACACTCTTGTAGAGGTCAGCTTTGCTAAACAGTCATGACGAGAACAGAATGTCACTCACTCGCATGACATTGACCCAATTAGAGAGCTTTTCGAATTCACCCTTTGGGCCGCCAGGGCCGGTGTACAAGATGAAGGCAATGATGTTGTGGTACAAGTTGAAGGACACATCGAGCGTCCCGACAATAAGGAGGGCAATGGCGATAGACATCCATGGCCATGATCTCGCTGACTTTGAGGCTTTTGAGCGATGGATCCAGGAGTACATGCAGATTGCGAACGTCACCACATGCATTCCGTACGCGATGCTTTCCGCGAAGAGGGCGACAAGCTGGGCCTCCGTGATGGGGAATGCGGGCGCCATCGTCGCGCACAGCGAGGGGCAGTGGAAAAGAGAGCCATAGATCTCAGCCACGCCCGTAGGTATTTGTATCGGCTGTGGCCCGCATCACGCGCGTCTCTGTCTCAGGGCGTCCGGACGAAATCATCATCACTGATCATGACAGCCCGAGATATTCAGTTATAACGGGACTAAGTCCTTGTGCCATGTCCCCCTCCGACTGCTCTGGACCCGTAATACCCACTCACTGACTGCGGTCCAGGCCAAGGGAATGGACCTGTCGCAATGAAGACAATGTTGGTCACCTATGCCACCAATGAGAGACACGAGAACGTGCCGCGCCGACACCGAATCAATTGAATAGCAAGTACTGCATTCGTGATCATATGAAACACTTGGTGATTTCCTGCAGCCTGGCTCCGAAAGCCTCAGGAGGCCTCAGCGGTATACGAGAGTACATAAGTAGTGAAGGGATTCGGAACGGCCGTTCCAAACTTCTTCCGAGCTTGCAATTAATCAAGGCTCAAAATACGGTGGCTCCAGCACCGCCACAACGAATTCATGCACCGTGACGATCATCTACAGTCATCCGCTAGCGAGGTCCGATAGACAGATGCGGCATACGTCCTCCATCAGCAAACGATGGTACGTATACGGCGCGGATGAAATCTTTGGCGTGAGCGACCTCGAGTTGTAGCACTGGATCGTTCTGGTGCGGCCCAACAGCACCAAGTCACGTTAGCAAGCAAGACGTCGATTTCAGCGCGGATGAGTCCTTGACGGTGTCTCATGCGGTCGCCAGGCCAATGGGTGGGTTCCTTTTCGTGAGCCTTGCGATCATGACATGCGTATAGTAGATCCACAGACGGATGCTCATCTCCGAGCACAGCCCCCACGTCAACGCAGATAGACAGGTGGTTCCAGGAACAGTCATGACATAGCGGGAATGAAGGTAGGCACGAAGCTAAAACAGTTCAGTGCAGCATTGATAAGAGCGCTAGTCTGTAGGGCTTCTATGTCGCTCGATCGGAGTCAGACATCGACATAGTTCGACGAGGACTGCGAATACCTGTTGCGGCCCCATTTATGAACCGCTTCATGCTCGGACTTTTCTTTTGGGCCGAGGGCTCGCGGGATCGAATCGCAACAGCCTTTACATCGCCAATGCAGACAACAGAAGTCCAAGACGGCGCATTTCACGCCGTGGCTATGAACCGCGGGGAGATGTCATCAACTCTGGCATCGAGACTCGACGGGCTCTGATCAGACATCTCAGTCGGGACTACATAGTGGCACATCGCATCGGCGAACATACCTGGCCTTCGCGACGCCCACCCTTCCAAACGAGTCGCCGCCATTGCAAGACCATGGCAGCATGCGCTCCCGGCTTGTACCTGCCACGGGCTCGAGACCCAGGTTCTCCATGCGTGTGGAGAGTGATGTGCTGTGCCAGTACTGAAGTTCGGACTGGCGCGTATGCGCAGAGGACTGGATCTGTTCGCCTGCAACGCCATTCCAGATGCGCGCGAGGACGAGATCGAAACATATTCCCGCGACCTGCACGCTCTGGCATCAGGATCAGTCATTAGCCTTGTAGAGCTCAAATGATCTCCTCACCGCATCGATCGCGAAGTAGTAGACGTTAAATTCCAGAAAGTCCGTGACAGTGACCGCGATGACCGTGAGCGTGTACATGAGGGCGGATTCCACGAGAATAGCGTTCACGACAGTGAAGGAAATTCGACTTGACCCCTGACCTGAGGTGAGAAGTGCTGGAGTCTGCCTATGTACGTCCCACAAACGCCAAACAGCAAGCCCTGCGCAAACAAATAAAGTAGCCATTCATATAAAGCCTGCTGTCCACCATTCGCGGTACGGTAGTCAATTGCTGGTGCGTCAAAAGATCGATGGTGATTCCGCATCGGACAGTGCAACGATGAGCTGATAGCAGACATACTAGCAGGCGTTAATGAATGTCAGTTCGGACACAGAGATTTAGATGTGTCCAGGTGCCTCCTTACCCGCAACCCATTGATCCAGCCGTTTTGAACTCTGTTTTAGAGCCGTCGGGTCCATGGCTGAGTATGAATGCCAGAATATTGTGACAGCAGACCAAACAGATGTGCGAAGTGCCTAGAACGAAAAATGGATACGGCCACAAATACCCAGGGCCAATAAGCGGATCCCGGAAGGGAGCGTCGAGAACGACGGGACCAGGTGCACACACATGCAGCGAACGCTACCAGATGAATGCCGTAAGCGATACTGGCAGTGAAGAGGGAAAACAACTGAGCCTCGGATGTTGAGAGTGTGCGCATGTCGAGACTAGGTCAAACGATTGCGTGTGAGGCAACGAAGGCAATACTGCCCAATAGCTCGTGCTTTATGGGACGAGGGACAACCGGCGACAAACCGAGATCGATGCATGCGTGAAACCGCAATCGCGTTTGTGGTCTGATATTCAGTCGCCGTAGGCTATCCAAGACAACTGGTGACTCGGCACCAATCCTCCTACCGAGCGTCCATGAAGTGACATCCGGCAACACGCTGAACTGCGGACCTCAGCTCCAAGGTGATGATTTGCTAGCCGTCCCGTAGCATCGTATGGTTAATTCGAGGTTTCAGCGGATGGAACGCCTGCGCCGCACACGCGAGTTGCCAACAGCAGCTATGCCGCAGCCCGGCTTCTGAAGGCGACGCGCTCACTGGCAATGTATAGTGAGGTACAAAAGCCCCATAAAACCTGTTGAACGTCCAAATTCATAGAGATGGAGCACATTAGGACACCTATAGACGAACATGACGATATTTTATGACTCACTATGAGGATCTGTACTAGGCTTCGCCGTGCTTCTCCGAGCGATACTGGAAGGAAGCATCTGCTTCTCGTGCCATATCTAGCTCAAAATAGGTTGCGGAACGCGTCCTGTGGCCCGTGGATAAGCCGTGTGAACTATGTGGAACTCGGAGACGATGCCATCCGGTGCTGCTCAAACTCCTTCGAGTCTTCTCTCCGAGATATAATAAATGTTTCAGAGCTCCTGGTTCCGGGCTATGTCCACTGAGGGGAATATCGCCGACCATTTGTTTATATCACCCAGAGACAGACGTATATTTGCAGCTCCAGCCTGGGTCAACATCAAGGCCCATTCCTGCGGGAATACCATCTAGAACTGCGCACCTAGGACCTGTTGTTGAAGGTCTTAATGCTTCGCAATCGGTCAGTCGCCTCGCAAGTTTGGTTTTGTACTTCACCGTCCCTGAGTCTTCTCACTTCAGCTCGTCAGGACGCGCTGGCTTCCGGGCTATGCGGCGTCGCGAGGGTACAGTGGCTGCCGAGACCGCACGCTAAGTTGGCGATCACTAGCACAACGGGCACAGACTCCTTCCCCAGAGTTGGCCGGAACTATGCTTCACTCGGACTTGAGCGCTTTAACAGAAGGTAGTTAAAGTGTGCGGTGACATTTGCTACAGCGACGGCAGGCCTCGGGCGACGAGAAACGAGAAACGAGCCAGACTCCTCGCTGTGAATCAAGGAGGCCCCGAACCTGGTCCGGGAGGAGGAGGGTCGTTTCGGGAATCCGTTGCTGGCCCTAGTCTCCGGCAAATGCCGTGAGGAACCATCAACCGTCCGGCGTCTTGAAGACCGTCTTGGCCACAACTTGACCACAACTGTGCAGAAGACCGACTGCAGCTGCCAGCAAACTACCGAACACGTCGTCTGTCGTGTCGTACTTCTATAGTAAGAGCAGTCGTCAAACAATATTAATCATTCCACCACCGCTTGCGAGCAGCAGACAGCACTGTCGCAAGTACTCACCGTTGGCGTCGTGACGCGAGACTTGTTTCGAATCAACTTCGTGTAAGTATGTATTAATTCATCCCATTCACAAGAAGACTGGAATTGAAGAATCTTGCCAAAGCCACTATTGGAACGCGGAGAACACTGAAACGTCGACGAAATAGGTCATCACCGACAACCTGTTAACTTCTACGCCCTTTTTTGCTTGAAGTGTCTTCTAGACCCGCATGCAGTTGGAAGGCGGAGCCTGCGACTTCAATACCACACATGCGGCCGTTGTGCCATAGACCTAAAACACTCGCACGACATTGCGATTAGGGAGACTGTCCATGAGACGGCATGTGGCAGTTTCCTGGACCCACAATTCACAGAGAACACCAAAATCGGACATTGCGTCTCATGCTAAATGGTCTTCACTTATCCGAGTCTCCCGCCCCGTCTTCTCCGCCCAGGGCCTTGATGGAATTCCGCAAATATCGAGATTGACGCGGATCACATCCCATTGCCAGCGGCTTATGGTTAAGCGAGCGGCTTTGATACATACATAAAGTACGGAGTCTACAAACCCCCATGCTCATTACCCCACCCGAGAACCTCCCACCATGTCCGTCAAGTACACCTCAGTGGAAGATATCCCACTGGTACGTGTCATTGGCACGATTGTTGTTGAATTGGCCTTACATTGTAGCAGATTTACCAGGACCTGCGGAGGGCATTCCGTACCGGGAAGACCAAATCCGTTGCCTTCCGCAAGCAACAGCTGTTGAATCTGTGTTATCTCGTTCAAGACAACTGGGAGCGCATCAAGGATGCTTTCATGTCCGACCTGGGACGTCCACGCGAGGAGTCCGAGTTGTACGTATTGTTAAGTGACCTCCGCCCATGTCTGCTGACGTCAACACCATAGGCTCGAGCTGAATGGCACGCTCATGGAACTGAAGGAGGCATACGACAACGTTGAGAAGTGGGCGTCCCCCGAGAAAGCCCCGTTCTCATGGCTGTGGTTCGCCATGTCTCCCGTGATGAGAAACGAGCCGAAAGGCGTCGTGCTACTGATCAGCCCTTCAATTACCCGCTGTACCTCCTTCTCTGCCCACTGGTGCGACTTTTTGGTTGGCTTCTTTTGAAGTAGCTCACCTTCTGGCCTCGTGTCCAGTCGGGCGCTATAGCCTCTGGGAATGCAGTGCTGATGAAGCCCTCGGAGCTCTCTCCGGCGATGGCTGCGTTGCTCACCGAGCTCATTCCGAAGTATCTTGACCCGGAAGTGTACCGAATCGTGAATGGTGGTATTCCGGAGACGACGAAGGTATGCTATGTATCGTATGCACATACCTGGCGTTGGTGCTAATGCTGAAGGTTCAGATCCTCGAACTCCCGTTCGACCACAGTAAGACGACTTGCCTCCATGTAAGACGCTTTCCTAAGCTCGTCCCTATTCATAGTTCTGTACACGGGAGGAGGTGGCGTTGCACGAGTCGTTCTCGCAGCGGCAGCGAAACACCTCACTCCGGTGACATTGGAGGTGAGTCCATTCTGCTACCGATAAGACTCAACATGGTTAACCCACCTTGGTCAGCTCGGAGGGAAATCGCCATGTGTTATCGACCCGCGGTGCGATGTCAAGACGGCGGCGAAGCGCATCATGTGGGGGAAGCTCATCAACGGTGGCCAGGTGCGTATCTCTAGATATCCCTATGTGGCAGCTGAATCTCATGGGTCGGAACGCGCAGCTCTGCCTGTCGCCGGACTACGTCCTCGTTCCGGAATGGTTCCAGGACACCTTCGTCGAGGCGCTCAAGAACGCATACTACGAGCTTCACCCGGTCGACCCCGAGGTGTCCGGGCAAGTCACGAGGATGGTGAACGAACGCCATGCGGCGCGGGTCAAGTCGCTCATCGACAATACGAAGGGCACCATCGTCTTTGGTGGCAAAGTCGATTTGCAGAGCAAATACGCAGCGCCGGCGCTGATCAAGGATGTCCGCGGAGACGACTCTTTGATGAGCGAGGAGCTCTTTGGACCATTCCTTCCGGTCGTACCTGTGAAGGATGTGGATGAGGCCATTGAGTTCATCAATGAACGGTGCGCACACCTCTATTGGCTCATTGCCCGTTCGCTCACTTGCGGTTCACATTCAATGCAGTGACCATCCATTGAACGTTTATGTCTTCACAAACGACGCGGTCTTCAAGGAGAAAGGTTTGTGCTCATCATCACCCGAGTAGGGCATATCGTCACCAGAGCTTCGTGCTAGTCTTCAGCAATACCCAGAGCGGAACGGCAGCCGCCAATGATACTATCTTGCATGTCATGGGTACATCTCTGTCATGCATACTCTTGTTCGCATACTCATCTTCTTGGCAGCGGAAGGAATGCCGTTCGGTGGTGTCGGAGCTAGTGGCAGTAAGTCTCAGTCACGTTTCGGTGTTCACTTTTGACGTCGTTCGCCCATAGCCGGTTACACAACGGGCAAGTATGTCTTCGACACGTTCACGCACAAGCGCTGCACAATGGATGCCCCGAACTGGCTGGATTCGGCGCTGATGGCGGCGCGCTACACCCCGTATAATGTAGGCCCACATGGATCTCTGCAGCTGTATTGCGCTCTGAAGGATCGTTGACATTGCAGAAGGGCGCGTTGCGCCGTCTCAACTGGCTCTTCTCGCGCTCGCTGCCTCCACGCGATGGAAGCATGCCGCTGGCGAAGAAGCTGTGCTACAGTGCTATCATTGCCCTGGCCGGCCTTTCTGCGCTGTGGTTGACGTTGACGGGCAAGTTGACCGCACGGCTGCCGTTACTGCTTTTGCAGAGATCGTGAGGCTTCGTGGTCGTGTTTCAGTTAGACACTTGGGTCCAGCCTCAGTAGAAGATAGTATATATGCACTAGATGCGGCCGCGGCCGATGATTTCACTCATTACTAGTTAACACTCGACGTCGACAATCATTCCAGGACATCCTTTCGTTTATGACACTGCTACCGTTCTCTACAACGTTACTAGTTTCCATTGCTGAACAAAAAGAGATACCTCTCTACTATTCATACAATACTGTCTGCCGATGCACCTCAGGCCTCATGATTCGCGACTTCCTGCATTTACTATGCAATCATATCCATAGTTCGTCCGCATAGATCTCACGCCCGCGATGCGCCGAGGGCATGGACCGGTAGACAGCATCTAACCTACATGGTATCCGAAAGGCCAAAGTCCTCGATGAAACTAAGTACGTCCCTCTCTGCCTCTTCCTCAAATGAAAGACACTATCCCGCGAGCACACCACGGGGCGAGTAGTCTATTAATAGTCATAACCGCTACCACGTCTTGCGACCTCTTCCGGCAAACGACCACCTGGACCACGCGCAGCGCGTCGAAGACGGGTCTTCCTATCACAGCATGCAAGGGGATCAGGTCGGCGGTGTCGAAAGCTCGTACGTTGGCGCTAGGCTTCCAGGATCCTGGATGATCGCCGCATTTGAGTACGATCCGTGTCAGTCGCGGACTACCGACACTTGCAAGGGCCCGGGTCAATTGCAGCACCGTCTCAATGTCCGTGAGGGAGCGATGCCCGCTGTATAGCTCGATCGTCTGTAAGGACGTGTTATGACGCAAGTCGAGATGAGCAACTAGGGACAGTCGGTTACCTCGTGTCAGAGAAGGGCGAATAGGGTGTGGGTTTTTGCTTACATTTTTTGTTCAACGCGACGAGCTCTCGGAAGTGTACCAAGGACGGTCCTATAGCTTGAAGCAACTCGTTCAGTACGGTCACATGCTTGTCTGCGACGCGCGTTTCCAGAGATTCAATGGACGTGTGTAGTGACGAATCGACAAGCCATTGAACGAGCGGGATGACGAGGGCTTTGTTCGAGACACTGATGCGGAGGTGCCGTAATTCGCAGCTAGTTGGGTGTTTGCTGCGGCGCAAGAGCACTGAATCGACTGGCGACGGAGAAGTGGCATGAGAAAAGCGCAGGTTGCCTTCGAATGCAACCCGGCGGAGCTGTGGGAAACCGCACAGGACACGAAACAGGACGCGATAGTTCTCGAGCACTACCCCGCAGAGCGTGAGATCAGTGACGTTCTTGCAAGCCCGGAGTGCGGCATAGAATGAGGTGTGAAGAGGGCAGGGAAGACATTGTCTGAGCGTGAGTTTCTGCAGGGAAGGCATCAATGATGCTAGGACGACGAGTGCAGATTCGAGAGTGCGTCCTGAATTGATCTCGGACGCTCCGTCCAAGTCGAGTGCCAGAGTTCCTACGAGGTTGTGTCTCACGCGCTCGTGCTTGAAAGCCGATTGAGCCATTGAGCTGACCGTGTTCAGAGCACCGATATCGACCTTCTCATATAACAGGTGAACGCTGTGCGGATACCACGTTCGCGAAACCATGGCGCAGATGTGTAGACTGTGTCGATCACAAGCGAGCCAGCCGATGATCTCGAGGTGTAGTTCCACAGGAATCCGCGCTGCTAGGATAGGCGAGAGAGGTTGGAGGCCGTCCACAGACATGCTACAGCGACCGCAGTTGAAGGATGGCCATAGCTGGACTATCCGCCGACACGAGCGTACAGCGTCCCTATTAGAATTGATAAGACTCATCGGACGCCGTAGCATGTCTAGAGGACGCATGATAACTCACCGACTCCTTGAACGTTTAGCGGCTGCTTCAGGGTCCCTCGAGGACTTGGATACGAGGCCCTCTGGGGTCATGGAGGCGTAAAACTGGAGTGATGGTGAATTGTAAGAGGCGAGCCATGTGATGGACCGTTACTTATCTGACTCGGGGCGTCCAGGAGAAAAGGCTATCATCCGCCATCTTTCGCACACATTGATCAACGTAAGACCAATTGTGCACTTGCTGCGACATAGACACCTAGATAGCCTAACGGCGTAGAGTCATCGAATATGCACAAGGATACATACTGTACGGCGTACCTCATGCGATCCTCGGAGAATATAGTCTTCACTACAGACTGTGTGGAGCTCTGAGAGTACTTACAAGTGGACGCTGCTTACGCAGGCTCGGACAATCTAGAGTTCAAGTTGGATTGAATGGGGATTACTGAAGTAACGCCCCACGTATCTTCACGTAAGCTGCATTGCCGCTTCATGACTTCGGGTGAATTCGAATTGAGACGCACAGCCATTGATCACGATCGCGTCCTGAATGAGATATTATGAGACTCAATAGGTCCACAAAGTGAAGATTGTCTGAAGACTCATCACGGCCGCGGCGACGTAGACCGATTTCTGTGAATGACGACAATTCTATGACTCTTCTGTAGATTGTCAATGTCCCAAGTCCTCAGGTCAGTGAGGTCTGCCCCTAGGCTTCTGGCGATCCCTGCTGTATGGCTGGCATGGTATGGGGGGCCGCTCCCCATCTACACGCGATACGCGCTAACGCGGCGACACAGGGCCACCATTGCGTTCATAGCGTTCCTCCTGTCGGAGGCATGGGCAAACATCAGAGACGTCTCTTCGGCGACGCCATCTTCGATCCACGTTAACGTCGCACTGTCCATGCTCGTCACGATAGAGCTCGTCGCTGGTTTGGTCCAAGCTGCCTATGTGATCCCGGCCTTCGAGGGACTGTCCAAGCCTGGGGATATGGTTGTTTGACGAGAATAGACCGGTCCCTGTCGTGTATACCTGTTTCCCGTTTGCTTCCTCCGTTGTTTTCCTTGTGTTCGTGCTGTGCCTGTTGTCCTTAGTCGTTCTGTCGATGTTGTCCAAATAGTTATGTACAATCTACTTACCTGACTCGCAAAATCTGATGAAGAGTGTACCTTTAGACTTTGAATCGCTCAGGAAGTCTCGTCAGTGGATACACAATCGCACCTGGAACTAAGCAATCCAAGTTCCCGTCTGACTGCAGACTGATCCGAGCTTATGCCATTGTGCCTATGATGCGGGGACAATGACAACAAGCCGTGAAAGGTGAACGGAAGGGGCCAACAGAGTAAGAGAAGACGGTGACTATGAGTGGAAAGGGAGAGTCCAACGCCAACACATCACAGAAACAGAACGATAGCCACGAAGCGAGCAGAGATGCAGATCGAAAGGAGAAATGTCCGAGGCAGTTGCGGGCGCGCGGTGCGTACGCACGAGGGCGTTGCGCGACCCAGACGGAGCGCGACCACCCACGCATTAAGGTTAGGGTTGTCATGGGAGGAGGTAATTCCACTCCGTCACCCAGCAACTACCTGCGCGACCAAATTCTCACAAGCCTGCGGGTGGCGATAGGTATCAGCAAGGGGAGGACGTACGTATTACTCTGGTTGAGCATGCGCTCGCCGTAGCCGGTAAGGTCCGTGATGCGCGCATTCACCGTCGTGCTCGTCACGTTTAATAGCGAGGCGATGAACGTTTGGTCCGTGCAGAATCCGCTTATGGCAACGGTGCCGTCGCTGGGCATGAAATAATCGCAGCACAAGAATTGTGAAGGTGTGAGCGCCGCGAGCGACACAAAAGGTAGTGGATGGGCAGACTGACCTTGTTCTGCATCTCGATCTTGATCGCGTTCGGCAGCGACTGTCAGACGGCGAGGTAATTATTCTCGATGTGGAGGGTGTAGAACCAGAGAGACGTGCCAACGACGAGAATGGCGGCGAGATCCAGGATGAGCATCCAGTTCGGCACGACGACGCCCGTGACAGGCGCCATGGGGAACAACATCGCGATAAACGAGACGATTCATGACGCGAGGAGGTCGACGCCCATGATCAACCCAGCTGCAGGGACCCCCTGTCGGTTCGACGTTTGAGACCTAGGAGTAGGCAGTCAACTCAACTGCTCAGTCACAGCGATGATGACGATTTCGCCATCAAGTCGGCCTGCGCTCGACAGTAGAGAAGACGATGGAGGCAACGGTGCGCAGCGGCGAAGAGGGGCATGTTCACGAAGGACCAGAAGCCCATAAATAATCTTGAACTGCTTAAACATCTTGGTGGGCTGCAGTGTTGAGTCTGCGTGCGGGCGCTCCCGAACAATAGGCCGATACGGACGTTGTGGGAGTAGTGAGGGCGGAGTACCGAATCAACTCAGGCGAAGAAGGAACGTAGGAAACAGGGAAAGGCTGCTCCAGAGAGAGGACGCGACAGAGGAGGTTGCAGTGGGCGAGGCGTTGATGCAGATGGATGGACAGGTCGATTCTGGCCGATTCACTTTCAAACTCCGATGCCAATGTTCACGCGCTCACGGGCCGCGACGCCACCGCTCCTGTCACGGTAATAACCGCCACTGGCAAGCAAGTCAAGTTGTAGCTGTACATAGAGCTCGTCTGCTTCCGTCGCACAGCTGGTCCTGCACTACAGCTCCGGCGGGTTTCGCGAAAACATACCTTTGGCCTGTCCGTACACGGTGTCTGCCTTTCGATCCACCGTGCCGCCTTCTCTATCCCGTACTGCAACGCTCCCACCTTCCCGCAGCACTGGCCGAACTTCGCGAAACTGGTGTACGGAATGGGCTCGATGCTGTCCGGTGCTCTCTGGTGTAGCAACTTGTGCGCGTAGCTCACGCCGTTGCCTAGCCATTAACGGCCGGCTACCTCAAGCAAAGTATGAAGAGCCCGAATGTTACTCTCCGGGGCTTATATCACCTTCGGGGAAAGTAACGTCCTCCGCGCGAATGCCAATGCTTACTGTGGCTGCATGGCCCGCACTTAACTCGTCGTGGTACGTTATTCACCTGCCAGGAGACTATCTCTGCGCACTCGTCGGTTCCATCGGGTCCGGGACACCGTCAAGAGTGAGAGTTGCATGCTGCTGGATTTCCTACCTCCGTAATGTCTGCGCTTGGTCAAATATTCGGGAACGCAGGAGATCATTGCATATTCTATGGTCATTGCATACGCACCATGCGATTTTGCCCCATTCTCAAAGAAGGAGTATCATTGAGGGATGTGGCTGAGTACGTGTCTTCTCGACTCCGAGGTTCCTGCGAGATCTCATTCTTTGGAGAACAGATGACCTATCCGACTACATGCCGCTGAGCTCCTGAGTATGACTGCAATGTCGAACGACGGGACGCTCGGACAGTCAGGTGCTAGTCCTTGATGATATAACACTGACGACCTGTATCAGACGGCGAGGCGTCATCTCATACAGTTGCCCTCGTCATGGCCTCGCAGGTAATATCGCTTGGCAAGGGTTGGTATTGGAAGGATCGCGACGCAGCATCCTATGTTTCCGTGGTAAACGAGCTCCCTCAAGATGCACCCGGGACCAGTTCTCCTTGGACGGCAGCACAGAACTTCCCGTCCGAGATTCACGCCGAGCTCATGAAGGCGGGACGTATCCCCGACCCCTTCATTGGCTTTAACGAACACGACGTGCAATGTGGGTCTCCGATGTGATTCATGCAAGACTCCGCTGACGGCTTCCCACAGGGGTGGGCGAAAGAGAGTGGCTGTACTACTGCTCGTTCGCCCTTCCTGACGGCACGCAGAAGGCTCTACATGCTGAACTGCAATTCGAGGGCTTGGACACCATATGCGATGTCTACCTGGTGAGCGGCACTCCAGTCTCGTGAAGTACAACAGAAAGAATGTGGGGGCGCAGCGTTCCTGTCGTGCGCCGCTTGTTCGAGACGGACCTCCCGCATACAGCGCACAGGGATGTTTGCTAACGAGGTGCACAGAATGGCGAACTCGTTTTGTCAACGGACAACATGTTCCGCCTCTACACCGTATGTCTTTCTGATCACCTATGCCTTCAAAACCTGCTACAAGCGCTGAATTACGAAGGTTCCTCTGGACGTAGCCTCCCTCCGGTCAGGCGGGAACAGCATTCTTCTCCATTTCAAGCCTGCAAAGCTCATCGCGAAGGAGCTGGAAGCAAAATACGGTCGCGTGCGTGCTGGGTCGACCAACCTTGGGGATCCGAGTCGTGTGTACGTGAGGAAGGCACAGTATGGCTGGCGGTGAGTGTCTTGCGTCTTTACTTGACTGTTGGCCACTTATAATGAGTGCCAGCTGGGACTGGGTAAGCAACGATCTGTCGAACCGGGCGATTGATTGTCTGGACTGATCTGTTGACGCGTACGCTTAGGGCCCGGAGCTCATGACCTGCGGCCCTTACCGACCCATCAACCTACTTGTTTACACAACGCATATATCGACTCTCTACGCTCGCGCCGCTGTCTCAGCCGCTCCATCTCTTGTACCTTCCCTAGCCGTGGATGTCGATATCTCTGGGGAGATTGCGAAGGCGAAGAGCGTGCGCGTCATTCTCAGAAAGGACGGCTCGGACGATGTCCTCAAGCAACAAGATGTCCCGATACCGGAGGGCTCGGGTCGTGGCGCTCTGTGGGGGCCGACGGCGTTGTAGCGTGGGACTTGCAGGGTGCGGTGGACCTCTGGTGGCCTATCGGATATGGCGTACAGAATCTGTATTCCGTGGAAGTGGCTTTGCTCGCTGAGGTATGTGCTCCGGAACACGCTAGTTCCTCTTCGTTGACGAGACGATGGCAGGACTCTACTGTGCTAGACATCGCCACGAAGCGGATAGGCTTCCGTCGTGTAGAGCTTATTCAAGAGCCCCTGCAGGAGCCGGACCAGTATGGCAAAGGGACAACCTTCCTGTTTGAGGTGAACGGCGTTCGAATGTTCATGGGCGGTATGGCACACGATCTGCTCGTCTGAATGCGTCTGATTGAATACCGGATAGGCTCGAACTGGATCCCCGCACACAGCTTCCTCACTGAGCTCACGCCCGAGCGGTACAGAGCGTGGCTCACCCTTCTCAGAGACGGGAATCAGAACATGGTCAGGCTGTGGGGTGGCGGTGTCTACGAACCAGATGTGTTCTACGACACTTGCGACGGTGAGGCTTCGAGCTGCTCTCTTCGAGATTGCACACTCGGACTTACGAGTTCTGCTGCGGCGTGGTGACAGAGCTCGGGATACTGGTGTGGCAAGACTTCCAGTTTGCTTGTGGTGTCTACCCTGCGCACGACGAGTTCGTGGAGAATGCAAAGAAGGAGGCGGAGGACAACGTCAAGCGGCTGAGGCATCACCCTTCTCTCGCACTGCTCTGTGGCAATAACGAAGGTACGCTTGCAGTTTTAGGCTAATGACCTCTTCACGGCTGATACTGACGAATGTGAAGATTATCAACAAGTGCTGCAGTGGGGCGGTGAGCGTGCATCTCCATCGAGTCATAACACTAAGTACCGCCGGTATTGATTCAAGACGTGCCGCAGGTATATCGGACCTCCCTGCACGTCGTATCTACGAACATGTCTTACCCGAGGTGGTGGAAAGACTCACCAATCCGCCTATTCCGTACCATCGTGGATCACCGTACGGCGGCGAAGAGTGGGATACCACTGATCCCACTGTAGGCGACGTCCATCAATGGGATATCTGGGCAGGGAAGGAGCGGCCATGGCAGGAGTACGGCGAGCGCGGGGGTCGTTTCGTCAGGTATGTCCGCCTCCTACTGCGAAGGGCGCGCAAGGCTAAGTGTGGGTCGTGCGGGGTAGCGAGTTTGGAATCCCGTCGTTCCCGGATATCAGGACAGTCGATTACTGGCTCGGCGGAAACACGGAGGAGAGGCGCGCACAGAGCAAGTTGATGGCTCAGCATAACCGGGCTGGAAACCACGAACGACGGTTCGCGATTTTGATGAATGAGAACTTCAGGTTTACTAGCAATCTCGAGGGGTGAGTAAGAGAGAGGGCGATTACAACATGCTTTGAATGCGCACTGATAGACTCACATGATGACAGGCATGTGTACAACACACAGCTGATGCAAAGCGAGGCTGTGAGCTTCGCGTACAGGGTGTGGAGGAGGGCTTGGAAGGGAAGAGGTAAAGAATATGTACGTCATGCGTTCATGCGTTCATGGTTGGTTCGTGTGCCGTTTCGTTGACACCGTTTCTACAGACATCTGGCGCACTGGTCTGGCAGCTGAACGATTGTTGGCCGGTTACATCATGGGCCATCGCGGACTTCTTCGTAAGTCGGTTATGTCGACTATGGTAACATCAAGAGTGGCTGATGTCTTTTCTTGCGTCAGCTGCGTGCAAAGCCCGTGTATTATGCGATCAAGAGGGAGCTCGCGCCTCTGAGCGTCGGGATTCTTCGGACAGTATGCTCAATCATAACGACGTTCAGATTGGCCCTGACTATCGCATTACCAGGTTCACAACAATCGAGGAAACGACCGACCAAAACAGGTACGCTTGGCAATGGTCGGGTTGTGACAAAATGGCATCTTAGATCGAGTCCGCCATATAGTTTTACGAGTTCGGGGCGTTCCGCTCTATCGAAGCCACTATCGAGGTGTGGGCTTGCAACAGCACCCTTTGGCCTCGACAAGTCAAGTTGATCCTACACTTTGCGGACCTGGAATCCTCGTGGACCTACCAACAGGAATCTGTCGTAACATTGCTCCCGAATCAATCAACTGAACTGTTTCAGATCCCTTGCCCTGGCCCGCCTTCGACGACGTCCGGTCGCCTCGGACCCGGCCTCACGACGTCGTACACAGTCGTCGCAGCTGCCCGACTGGTTGATCTTCAAACTGGCGATGTCCTGGCCCGATATGTGGATTGGCCTCAGCCGTTCAAGTACATCGACCCGCCTCGACCTGAACTTCAGTTCGACCGCGTAGGCGAGCACATCTCCGTGCGAGCAGATAGGCCTGTCAAGGGCTTATTCCTGACTGCTGAGGACGATGTTGCGAACCTTGTCCTCTGGAGTGACAACGCGCTGGATCTGATGCCTGGAGACGAGCAAGTAGTGGTTGCGAGAGGCGCGAAGGACAGCGTGGTCAAGTACACTCACATCATCGGGTCCGACCAGACATATGTTATATAGGTCGTAGGGTCTCAATAACGCCAGACTATGATTCTGTCTTTCTAAGGGGCCTAGCTTGTGAGGCATGAGTGCTTCAATTTGAATATCGAAATCAGATTCATTTAACAAGCGCGTGAACGCTTGCGTGAATTCCGCCGCGCTTGGACAGCATTGGGTTGGTTGTAAACTTAAAACTACGTCTGAGCTGCACTTGGCTTCATATACTTACGCCTTGTTCGAATTCATACCATTGAACTACTCCCTGTGTCTCGCTGGAAGTCCTGACAGGTCCTCTAATTCGCAGCTACCACGTCCACAGTCCGTTTCGTGGCTGCCGCCCAACGAAGGCGGCATTGGGAGGCTTTTAGGCGTCATCTCCGGCCAGTATTTATCGTCAAACACTTCTCTCGCCTACCCCATATCCCCAGCATGGGCAACTGGACTCGCCTGCGCTCTGAGGACGGCAAGCACGGCTACGCTGTGCTAGAAGAGCAGATTGAGAAACCTGACCTGGACGATAGAGACTACAGAGTGATTGAGTTGGACAATGGCCTCCGCGCAATACTCGTTCACGACGCAGGAGCGGAGAAAGCGGCAGCATGCTTGACAGTGCAGGTGGGAGCTATGCACGACCCGGTGAGTCCAGTTCTACTCGCTCTCTGATCGGATGTTGACCGCCTCAGGGACGCTGTATAGGATGACATGCCGGGCCTGGCTCATTTCTGCGAGCATATGCTATTGAAGGTATGTCGGTCACTCAGAGCCTGTAGCTCATGAGCTGAGCACGATATTAGGGAACGGAAGCATATCCCGAGGAGAACGACTTCTTCGCAGTATGTTGCCCCTTCCTCGCAGCGAGCGTGTTCTGACGAAGTCTGTAGTACATTACTTCGCATGGAGGTAGCAAGAACGCATCTACGTCCGCCAACCAGACCAACTACTGGTTCTCTATCGGTTCCTCTTATCTCTTTGGGGCCCTCCCGCGCCTCGCCGCATTCTTCCACTCTCCTCTCTTCACCGAGTCTCTTACGAAGCGGGAGATCTATGCCGTCGATAACGAGCACAGGCGGAACATACAGACTGACAGTCGCAGAGTGTTCATGGTTGACAAGATGCTTGGTACGCCTGGTCATCCTTATACTAGGTTTCAGACGGGGAACGTGGAGAGTATAACGGAGGCAGCGAGGAAGGAGCTTGGTATAGAGGTCGTACGGGAGACGCGGGAGGAAGGCGACGTGGATGATGAGCAACCTGTGTGGAAGAAGACGCGCGATCGGCTCGTCGAGTGGTGGCGGGAACACTATTGCGCGGGGAGGATGACACTCGCGGTCCTCGGAACAGGTGAGCGGGTTATTATCGAGCAACGATGGACCTCACTGCTCACGGGCACGGACACAGAGTCCCTCGACGAACTCACAAAGTCGGTTGTGTCTTTGTTCTCTCCCGTCAAGAACCTCGGGTTAGATCTCCGACCTGTAATTGCTACACCGCTCTGGGGAGCGTCCGAGATGGGCGTAGGTCACTGTTACATCGTTGATTATCATTGAATCTCACCACGCATCTAAAAGTCAGTTATCTACATCAAAACGGTGAAGGATACCACGGCCCTCACACTGAAGTTCCCACTTCCGGACCAATGGCCACACTATCGCTCCAAGCCCGCTCGTGTGCTAGCGCACCTCCTGGGCCATGAGGGTCCCGGGAGCGTCTGCGCTTACTTGCGGCGAAAAGGGTGGGTCGATCACCGCGCAGTGAGCTCGGAGTGAGCACGGGGAATCCGAGCGTGCAGTTCCTCCAGGTGAAGTGCCACTTGACCAGGGAGGGATATGGTAAGCCATTCCCCGTGTTTACTGCCTGCAGTCCAACTCACAAGCGTATTATGCCATTGGTCCATTTCCCCAGCCCACTACAAGGAGGTTCTTGCAGTGTTCTACGACTACCTCGCTCTCCTGCGGTCGTCGAACATCGAACCATACCACTTCGATGAGCTCAAGAGGATGTCAGAGATCAATTTCCGCTACGAGGAGAAGACACAACCCCACACCTACGTCGGCTGGCTTGCGCGCGAACTTGCGCATCCGTACCCTTCCTCCCGTGTTCTCAGTGCATCGTCACTCTTTCTAGACTGGGACGAGGGAGCGGTTCGGGACCTAATAGATAACTATCTCCTTCCAGATAAAGGTAGAGCCATCTTGGAAGCCAGAGAGCACCCGGGCGTGGACGGATGGGAGAAGGAGAGATGGTATGGGGTGGAGTATTGTGCGCGAAGGATCGACGCGGATCTATCGCTGAAGGTCGGTTTATTTCTGTCATTAATACCTTATTGCCAACGCTCATAGCATGTCTTCGCAGCCTCGAGGGCCTGGCGGCAACAAGGAGCTATTTCTGCCTGGCCCCAATCAATTCATTCCAAGAGACCTCTCAGTAGAGAAGTCGAATATCTCGATGGTATATTATAGCCATTTGTACTCATTGCCGAAGTTACTCAACGTCACCCGCAGCCGGCTCCAGCCCCTGTTTGTATATACCGCAGTTCTCTTTCCGCGTTGTGGCACAAGAAAGACGACCGATTCTGGGTTCCTAGGGCGTCAGCGAAGATCGACATCCGAAGGTCAGTCTGATCCCTGCATTTGCCTGCGTGAACCCACCATGTCACCATGTCCCACGTCTCCTAGTCCCCTTGCGTATGGCACCCCTCGGCAAGCAGTTCTCACGAGGTTCGTCTCGTTCACCGTTTGTACCTGGTTCGGTCAACCTCATGAAGTCTTAAATCGTCAGGATGATCGCCGATCTCGTAGAGGATGCTCTTTCCGAGGTAGCCTACGATGCATACCTCGCAGGCTTCAACTACGACGTCACGAATCACAAACGGGGTATCCGAGTGTCCGTCAGTGGATACAGTGACAAACTGGACGTAGTCCTGGGCACTGTCATACGATACCTCAAGAATTTGCAGGTGGACCCACGGAGGCTGGACGTCGTCAAAGAGCAGGCGAGTGATGTGAATGGTCCGGTCAAGAAGTGATGCTGATGTTCGTATGGGTCCCAGGTCACTCGTGCGTATGAGAATCACTATCTCGGACAGCCCAGTGATCTGTCTGAGGAGTTCGCGGAGTGGGCAATGACGCACACAGTATGGACACCTGCCGACAAACTACCCGAGATACCTCGTACGTCCTCTTCCTTTGCGAGGCTGAACGTCTGTGATTCTGAAATAATATCCCTGTCCTAGTTATAAGCGTCGAAGATGTTCAGGTACATCACAGGGAGTTTCTCGGGAAAGTGAGCGTGGTGGCGCTGGTAACTGGGAACCTCCGTCCGGAGGTAAGTCTTCCCATGTTCCAGTGTGCGGGATCACTCACGAAATGCGCGCTCATGCTTTGCATTATATGTACGTCAGCAAGCTGTGGCAATCGTGAAGTCGGTTGAGGATAGTTTGCGAACTCGACCATGCCCATCTAATGAGAGGTTCGAAGATCGCGCTCTAGTTGTCCCCCCGGGTAAGTGATACGATGGCAAGACGTGGGGAGTAGACTCAAACCTCCGTTCAGGTGCGAACGTCGTCCTCCGACAAAAGCATGCCAATACGCAAGAATTGAACAGTAGCCTATCGTATTGCTGTCAGTTCGGCGAAGTTGCTGACGAGACTTTACGACCCATTGTGATGCTCCTTACCCACATCATGCGTTCGCCCGTATTTGACCAACTCAGGACTCAAGAACAGCTGGGCTACGTCGTCTCCAGCACTATGTGGGTCGCTGCGACGTCCATGGGCTTCGGCATCAATATCCAGAGCACCCGTGCGCCGTGGTATCTGGAAGAGCGAGTAGACGCCTTCCTCGAGCAGTTCCGAAGCACTCTCGCGGAAATGTCCCAGGAGGACTTCGCGGCCGAGAAGGAGGGGCTGATCGTCAAGCTACTCGAGCGGCCGAAGAACCTGCATGAAGAGACCCTGTCGTTCTGGGCGCAGATTCGCCAGGGGTACTACGATTTCATGCGACGTGCGTTGTATTACATTCTGTGTGCCGGTCGGTGTACTCATCCTCCCCGAAGGACAAAGGGACGCGTCTGCGATCAAAGCTTTGTCACTGGACGAGGTCATCAAGACCTACGACACCTTCGTTCGCCCTTCGACTGGAAGAACGATGCGCAAGAAGCTGTCCGTGCAGCTGGTCTCACAGCAACTGAAGGAGGCGATACCTCTCCGTGAAACCGGCACCGTCTTGACAGACAGCGGTCTGACGGATTACAAGTCGAGCATGGCATGCTATCGCGCGGCAGTCCCTGTGGGCTGCGAGTTTGGTCGCGCGAGGGTGCTGGCGGAGGAGACAGCAAAGCTGTAACGCGAATATGACACGGTTGCGTTATTACACTTATTGGTGCACTATTTGCAGTGAACACAAAGGTTCTTCAACCCTGTGAAACGTAGCTGCAATGGACTGAGACTGCCGCCCGAGTGGTTCGGCGCCGGATGCTCTTGTGCGCGACACCGTACGCGTTCCCGGTAAGTAGCTACCGTCTCTATTGAACTGAGTGAAATATTCACTGTGCGCCACGCACTCACTGGAGTCGACGATTCGAATAGATGGCCGGCGAGCAGACTGCCAATCCTAGGATATGCCTAACTTATGACCTTGTGTTTCGTTGGCGTCCCGAGCTCCCTGCAGACAGTCTTTCACACACTGACGGTGACCGTCGTGAGGACAGACGAACATTACAGCAACGATATCAGAGGTTCGCAATGGCCGGTGGGTCCTTGTCATTCAGTCCGAGGCGGATGTACGCACGACATTAGGGACTACACGAGATCGTTGTTCAGCGGACCGTCTGACCAGCCCCGGACAAGCCCACTGTGTCCCCCCGAGTCGACGAGATTATAACACTCTAGTTCTATCGACGTAGATGTGCGTACGTACGGGTGATACAGACAAGTAAATATGTATGTCTACATTAGATCGAGCAGGACAAGGCTCAGACGGGGACGCCGTGCACAGTCCCCCAGAGCTGCCGGCACGAGCAGCACCGTGACAGCGACCCCGGGAATCCTTCGACTGTCCGGCGCGGCTTCGTCCGTCCAGCCTGCACAGGCGGCCAACTGCCGATTACATCCCCCTCCGCATCCGCTCCTCCTCCCGGACCTCCTCCGCATACACCAGGTCCGGGTCGCGGCCCTTCACCTCCGGCAGGAGGAGCGTGAAGCCCGCGCCGGCGATGCAGCACGCGAAGAAGATCCAGAGCACGTTCGGCGTGCCGATCGAGTCCGTGAGCGAGTTGAACACGAGCGCGGAGATGATCGCGCCCGCCTTCCCGCACGCCGCGGACATCCCGTGCGCGGACGCGCGGAACTTCGTCGGGAACACCTCCGCGGGGTAGCAGTACGTCGTGCTGTGCCAATGGGAGCGTCAGTGACTGAGGTAGCGGGAGAAACGGGGGACGTACGCGTTTGCACCGAAGTTGAAGAAGAACTGGAGGAAGGCGAAGTTGACGATGAACGCGGCCGTGCCGAGCGTGTAGAACTTGCCCGCGAGGATGCCCACTGCGCACAGCACACATCAGCACCCCCTCCTCGCGTGCGCCCCAGCAATATGTGCACTCACAGAACAGCGCCGCCATCAAGAACCCCTGGATCTGGATCCACTTCCTGCCCAGCCACTCGATCGTCAGGATCGTCACGTAGTACCCCGGCACGAAGCCCAGCGCGGTCACGATCAGGTTCCCGATGCCGATCTTGAACAGCCGCGTCCACGCGGACCCGCTCTTCCCGTCGAACCCGATCTCCTCCAGCACGACGTTCTGGTTCAGGTTGATCCCGTAGAACGCGACGTCGAGCAGGAACCAGCACGCGCACGTCCGAGCAGCACGCGCAGGTGCCGCCACTCGGAGAAGTAGTGGAAGAACTCCGCCCAGTGGTCCCGCTTCGTCGCGGGCGACGCGTGCACGGCTGCGGCTGCGGCTGCGGCTGCGTTTGCGCTCGGTGCGGGCGAGAGCGAGGCGGGCGAGGGTGTCTCGGAGGAGGCGGGCGCGGGCCGCACGGACTCTTGCACGCCCGGGTCCGCGTCAGCCTTCTTCTTGAGCTCGTCGATCGACTCCGTCTCGGCCTCGACGCCCTTCTGCGACGCCTTGAACCGCCGCGACTCGGGGAGCGTGAGCCGCTGGTACAGCGTGCCGAACGCGGGCACGAGCGACAGCCCGACGAGGATCCGCCACACTGCGCGCGAGCAGGATCAGCGTCACGTAGACCAGACCGGACCGCGAATACGCACCGCCGTCGACCTTGGACGTCTCGCCCTTGACCTCCATGATGTGGTGGAAGCACGCGAGCACGATGATCACCATCAGGCTCCCGACGAGCGAGCCCCAGCCCTGGTTCGCGAAGATGTACGAGAGGAGCGTGCCGCGCCGGCGGAGGTTCGAGCGGTCCGTCGCGACGGACGCAGACATGGGATAGTCACCCCCGATTCCTATCCCGAGGATGATGCGCCAGATGGAGAGCCAGAGAATGCTCCCGGTTGCGGAGAGGTCGCCTGGAGGAAGATGTCAGCACGGATTGGACGACGGGCGTGTACGCATCGGCTGGCGCTGCACAAGCAAGGGTGCGCGGCGGACGTTTCGGTGTGCCAGGCGGGTTACCAACAACGGGATCTCATACGAGCCGTCGTAACCGAACATGGAACTTGACGATCGCCCGAGAGATGAGTAGCATCCAGACACAGGCAACTCAGGTGCCCTCTTCCAGTGCGGTCCGTAGACCCCTGAGAAAAGCCTGTACAACCACGCATCCCATGGAACACGCGCCATGAACTCCGAGCCACGAAGGCCAGATCCTGCAGCTTGCAGATCAGGCATCGCGAGTTACATCGGGGAGCCACCGTTGACTTGCCCGAATTAACGACGGACGCTGGCATGAGACACGACCGCCAAGCACATCCTCAGGGTGCGCCTTTAGCGCTCGAGCAAACCTCACGATCCGCAGCGCACTCTTGACCGCAGGCGAGGCGATACGTGCATATACGAAATGCACTCACCAGTGGGGTCGGATATCGAGAAGATGGTTGCGAATATGATGATGATCAACTCCTTTCCGTCTGCGACAGACCAAGAGTGAGGTACAGCTCCCCGAACGGGCACACGAGCACTCACAGACCGCTTTCCGCCCGAAGGTGTCGGCGGCGTAGCCGAAGCCGAACTGGCCGACGACGGAGCCGATGTTCGCGGAGGCCTTGAGGAAGCCCTGGAGCCCGGAGGGGATGGCGGCGCCCCCGTAGAGGCGGTACTGGAGCATGGTCGCCACGGGCTGCGGGTGGTCGTGTGAGCAACACGGAGGGGTCAGCGCGGGCAGGGAAACGCACGTTGATGATGAAGAGGTCATAGGCGTCGAGGAAGAAGCCGACCTAAGACGGGAGACTGGTGAGCGGGGGCCACGGGAGTATCAGGGAGGTAGGACGCACGCCGGCGATGCCGAGGAGCTTGCACTCCTGGAATTGAGGAGGAAGGGGTAGCGGCCCTCGTCCTCGCGCTCGTAGTCCTCGAGCCCGCCTTGATGTTGTTTTCTTTTTCGGAGACGGGCATGGCTAGCACCGCGGAGGCAAAGGTGAATAAAAACGTTAGCGGTTGCGCAGAGAGGGGGTATCGGCGGGGAGGCGGCGGTGGGCGGTGGGAGAGGACGTTAAGTACGGGTGGGGTGTGGCGGTGGAGAGGAAGGGGACATACCGACAGTCGAGCGACGCACGTTTGCGGTGGGCGGTGGAGGAGCTCGAGCGACCCAGCAGCCGGCGGCGGCGAGTGGAGATCCGGCGCCTATGCGATCTATCGCATCCCATCACTCCGCCCCATGTCACGTGCATGCGTCGGGCCCGATCACCAGGCGCGCCGACCCGCCCTTCTCACCCGCCGCCCCTGTCTGTATCTCACGGATGCCTCCTCTGCGCACAGAGAACCCCCGCGGCGTCTCTGTGTGAAGTGTGTGCGCAGGTAAGCTGTTTCAGAAACACCAGTGGCGGTGTACCATTGCACCGACAAACTACAGCTGTGGCATTTGTATGCACACGCGCTACCAGTGCATCCCAGAGATGGCCAAGAAAGTTCTCGAGCCGAGAACATGAGAAATGAAAGCGTGCACTCAGCGTCACCATCCCCCAAAACCTGCTCGGGCCCATCTGCCTGCCAAGCAGCACCCTCAGGCGCGACCTCACTCACGGTCAGATCGCCCCCAAGCAAATCCCTACCGTTGCCCGACATCATTGATGCCTACCAGTACAACAGTCCACCCGCCATCACGACGCAGAGACATCACTCTCGCGAGGCGCACGGCGCGACGAACGTTCGACCGTACCATACGGTTGCCGGCCTCGCTCGCATCGACGCGGACACAGCTTCTCGCCTTGCTGGGCTCCTCGGAGAGCAAGACCCGTATGGTATGTTTGATGCTTGCGTTACGCCCGGCAGTCTAGTCCCTTTGATTTTTTTTCGTCGCACATTGAGTTGCTTCAAGATCCGGGTCTCCTGCGCGTGTACTTCAAGTTCGTCACCCGAGGTGGCCCCTGCGCGAAATAGACACCACTCATATTTCACTACGATGCGTGGATCCCTCGTATGCGATTGACGATTCTGGTTAGGCACAGTAGCGCATCACGCCCCGCACGAGCTGTCGACGCGGAAGCAAAATCAACGCGATCTGACAGGTCCTCCACGTCGCGCGCCCCACCCACGCGCCACCGCCACCCGCTTCTAGCCAGCGACACCAGCTCGCACCCAGATTGGCTCCCCCCACGCACGTTCGTCGGCCCAGAAGCCTCCGAGTCCGCGCCGTCGCATGGCAGGGTCCGCGCGCGGGGACAGCTTCGTGTGGCGGGCTTCTCTCCTGCGCGCAACAACCCACGGCCGACCCAATCATATTCTATTACCCAACAAAACTACTACTCTAAAACAAACACAATCAACTAGCCGTCCGCAGGCTCCCCGCCGTCTGTCCACGTCGGGTTGGTCTCAGCCTCTGCGCTTCGCGCCCCGCACTAGTTCTGGGGCCTGACAGAAAGCACCCACAACCCTATGTCATCGCTCTCCCCTGCTCGCTGGCATTCTCGCATTCTCGCCGGCACCGAGGGAGGCACGGTCACAGGCCTGCCACGTAAATCAACGGTTTCGTTCAGTACGCACCACTTCTGTCAAGCCTTGCCCACCTGGGCATCCAACCCAGGCACGTCGTTCGGACAGAGCCGCCTCTGCGGAGGAGCAGCACCCGTACTACTATGTCCCCCCTCCGAGTACGCCTGGTAGGCACTGTTGACGGTGACGTCTCTGCCACATTGATCAGCAGTAACCATACACAGTCTCAGTACGTTCTCAGCGCCGTCGGACGGCGGCCTGCAGCCGACTACATGCAGCCTAGCACCCCCCATCTCGCAACGCCATCTGCGGACTGGTTTCTGCGAGGTCTGCTGGAGCGCACGGAACGTGCAGGGCCTGTGTCGCTGCTCCACTCGTCTCCCTGAGACACGGCACCGCTGTACCTGGACCCGTAGCTTTCCAACGCGGACGCAGGCCTACGCGTGGCTTGCACCGGACTCGGCGATGGTACCACGCGCACGCACCGAGGAAAAGTTCAGGACTATATGCACGCATGCATGGGAACCTCCGGGCTCCGTGGCCGTCTGCTTCTAGTCAACCCGCCAACGGTCAATGGCATTCAGTCCTTCATGACACAATGCACGCGAACTCGTGTGCGCACCGGGGGCGGGCGGCTCTCCCGGGGTACACTCCAATATCAGCGGTGAAGGTGTTCCTGTGACCGGGGTGCTACGGCTCGTACAGCTCTGGCTCGGCAACCTACTGGCACGCCAGGGATGCTTCCGGCTGGGCGGCTCGTGTCGTCGGCGCCCCTTCAACCTAGGCAGAATGCCACCAGTGGAACCGCTCAGCGGGTCGCAGTTCGAGTCAGTCGAAGGAAACCGGTTCGTTGCTGGACGTGCGTGTCTCCAGACCTGGTTGATACGGCGTGTATGTACGTACCGAGGAGTCGCTCACACATGGGATGGCCATATAATCCATAGGCTGCCACCAGCAGGCGCGATCACTGGCAGCCATACGCTAGACTTGCGCTAGACCGTGACGCGTTGACGATCTGATGATCCTGTCCGAGGCTGCGGTGCTTTGGCAGCTATAAGAAACTACGACGTATGAGATGACCGGACCCACGACGAGAAAGTAGAATCGCGGTCAGGTGACGGGCGCCATTGCGTTCTTCCAAGTTTGCTCGCAGCCACCTAGTCACTACACCTCGAAACGGGCGAATCGTGCGTCTAACGTGGCGATAGCAGCTACGGGACACGACGTTCGATACGTGGGGAGCACATGCAAGCCAGGAGGAGGACAGCTGACGGGAAAACCTGTGCGGAACGTGCTGTCACGGCTTTGTCAGCAGGAGACAGGTTCTGTCGCCGCGGTCCTCCACCTTGCCTCCACCCACTGTCAAGATGAGTCGAGCGCGCATGCGGTATCGGCCGGTGGCTCGATGGACCCCCTCCCTCCTTCGAAGTGAGATCCACGTATCAAGTGACCACGTCCAGCGCGCCGCCCCCGCGCGCCCCCGACATTGGGCCTCCGCACGAGGCTACAGGGCAGCCATTCCGAGACACTAGGCTCCTCTCCCGTGCAGCCGCTGTCTGCTTGCTTTGCCATCTGTCATCGGTCACTGGCGTGTATCTTATAAACATGATATCCGACTCGGAGTCTCTCATTTCCCCCCTTTCTGCGCGAGGCTCCCGCTACTCTCCCCCGCGGAGCAATGCGCCATCTGTTGCCGTCCACGCTCAGCGTCGCGACTAACAACACGACCACGCCGTCAACGCCCGCAAGCACCGTCTCCAAAAGCCGGAGCGTCGGGAGTCCCGACGCTCCGGCTTCTTCAGCCGGTTCACGGGCGGTTTGACTGCGTCGGCGTCGTTGAGCCTCAGCTCAAGCATGACGTCGCTCTCGCTCGAGACCTGTGTCCACGCCGAGCGCGGCTCCGTCGACGAGCTCATCCTGTCAGGGACTCCACCGACTGAGCCCTATAGCGCCTCATTTATGAAGAAGACCAATCAATTAAGTACTGGGTCACACTCGACGACCATCTCACTAGTCTTCGCAAGTCGGCTGGAAATGACGCAAAAAAGCTTGCACGGTATGTCTCCCTTCTGGGCTTCTATTCATCATGTACTGATATCGTGCCATAGAGTCTTTAGATCTATCCTCGACAATGATAGGGCATTACATGGCAATAACTCCGCCGCGATCAACGCTGTTCCCGAAGATGAAGTAGTAGATGAACGGCAGCAACAGGTCAACGAGGCCTTTGTTGCGTCAACCGAGGGAGATCATGCGCAGCCAAGCCCCAGCGGATCCTGCGGAGTAGTCCTCGTTCTACTAGTGCTCTGTGTCACGCGTGTATCCAGGGCTCGATTGTAAATCTCATTTCGCCGGATTCATAGAGCATTATTCGGACTGTATCATGTAGTGCGGGCTGCATAGACGTGAATTATTATGCAACAGCAATTGAATACTGTCATCGTGATCGTGAATGGGTGCTTGAATACTGCAAGAATGCTGTCTGCGACGCAAGGACCTCACGCACAACGCATGCATGCAGCTCATATCAATGTAATTTGCACGGCGGTACTACGTTAACGCATGTCAAAACCACGCGTACCCCACCTCGTAGGCAGCTGGCACACCACCTGTCTGCCACGTACGACTGTCGACACGGTGGGGCCATTTCCTCCTTTTCGTGGCCACCATGTGTCGTCAGCGCGTCTCAGGTGGCAGGTCCATGTATTTCGCGGGCCGCACTCACGTGGACTCCATGTGCCAGCCAACTCGAGGTGTACGCCCTCGGCACCGTTTCCTACGTTCATGCTGGTGCAGGGCAGTCGTCCCGTTTGTCGCGGTGAAATGACCAGAGGGCGCTGGGGCCTGCCAGTCAAGGAGTCGATTGGCGCTCCGGCGTCACTGATCCACTGACTCGTCGCCCGCTGACGGCGGTTGGTTGGCGGGTCCTCCTCCTCCTCCTCCTTGGCCTTACATAGGCTCACACCGCATACAATTATCACTGTTCTGCGTAGCGATGCCCAAACTGGAGGCGGACGAGGTTGCGGCCTTCACAGGGCATTCCCGACCCACTGACCCTACCACACGCGTCTTCGACGCCCTACCGCCCGAACTTGCAGACCGCGTCCCATGGGATGTCTGCGACCACATCATCTCCTCGCTCGTCGGCGACCAGGACGCCCTATGCAGGCTCGCCCTCGTCTCGCGCGCGTGGAACGAGCGAGCCACCGCCGTGCTGTTCTCCGACGTCACCATCCGGAGCAGCATAATGCTGGACTCGCTCGCCCGTCTGGCGGTCCAGGACCCTCGCGTCCGCGCGCACCTCGCAAAGACCAGGATGCTCCGGCTGCGCCAGAGGACCGCCCAGGAGAAGGCGACCGCCTTCGTGCACGCGGTGCCGCTCGTCCTCGGGACCCTGCTGCCCGGCCTGCGGTGCGTCAAGATGGAACACTGCCCGAAGACCGCGGTCCATCCTACCTTCTTCATCTCGCTCCCTGTGTTCAAGTCCGTGACGTCGCTCAAACTGTGTTTCTTCCTCTTGCACAGTTTCTCTGAGCTGCGGCGCATCATCTGCGCCTTCCCGCAGCTGCGCACGCTCAGCATCCACTACGCGAACGTGCTCCAAAGCACGACGAGAAGAACCGCACTCGCGAATGCTCACAGCCTCGATCGCGCTCTCCCTCGCTCGTCGGTGAAGCTGGAGTATCTGAGTCTCGGGTGGGACATGCCCGCCTCGCTTGCGAGTGAGCTCGTAGACTGGCTCGTAGGCTCGTCTGCCTTGGATGCCCTCTCGATGATGGAGCTCTACCTGCGCGAGCCAGAGCGTATGCCGCCCATGAACCGCCTGCTCGAGGCTGCCGGCTCTTCGCTTCTATGGCTGCGCGAGGTATACTGGGACGTCGACACTGGTGCGCAGGATGTCTTGGCTGTTCCGTGAGTCGTCTATCATGTGTCACTGACCTGATCATCCCGCCGTCATCCAGACCTGAAGCTGCACTGCGCCCTCACTCCCAACACCAACCTCCAGTCGATCGAGGTCAACCTCGGCTCGACCTCGTGGGCCGGCGCAGCCCTCGAGCTCCTCACCTTCCTGCAGACCGTCCAGAGCACGCAGCTCCAGCGCCTCCGCATCTGGATCCAGTCCTCCAAACCCTGGACGCCAGAGGGCGAGCACCCAGACAGCATGCACAGCGCAGGCAGCTTCCGCGTGTTACACGCGGAGCTGGCGCGTAAAGCCTTCGACGCCTTGCAGAGCGTCAGGGTCGTCGTGACGGTGCACTACGACGACGAGCGGTGGGACCGTCTGGCCGCTGATGCGGCCGCGGACAACATCGTCACCGGGATACGGGTCCTGCTTGCGCCGTGGGATGCACGAGGGGTTCTGGAGACCGTCAGAATGGAATGGAGGGACAGGCCTGTGTGAGTCCCGGGCGTGCGCATGCTCCTCTGCATAGGGCTGACTGATGGTTTAAACAGGGACTGACCCACGTACGCATGGACCCTGACCTCGGGCGCACATTCAGACTTGACAATCAGAGCAGGACATGGAAAATTTGTCGAGCGCATGTTGTATGTAAGGCTTCTTGTCGCCTAACCAGTTCATCGCCACACTTGTCTAGGGCTATAGAAATGCCAGTGGTCGTACGCGCCGGCGTGGCGCGCAATGCACAAATCCCATTCCGGGCTCGTTGAGCGGAACGAGGTGCCAGTTCCCCGCGCATAAGGACTAGTGCGCGTGCCGGACATTCGATGGCCTTGGTTCAATGGTGCAACAACACCATACGTGCGGCTGCGTTTACGGGCACTTGAAATTCCTCGGACTCACCGCCTCTCTGCTCCAGTCATGGGTGGACACGACCAGCCTCCGGTACACCGTTGCATTCCGCGCGAAACATCCGCCTTTCACGACGTGGCATTTCCGAATGGGGCTCAGATGAGTGCAAGCGACGTAGAACCGGCACGCCTTCCTATCGGCAATGACGCAGGTCATTTCTCGGTGAGTAGCACACCCCGAGCCGGTGATCGTCCAGTATGGCCACTGACTAAGGCTATCTGCAGAATCTGTAAGCCCAAGGATCGTATTACATATGTCTGTCGTTGAGAGAACGAGCTGAGTGAGCGCGACAAGACCCACTGGTGCGCCGCTATACCCTTCACGCTGTCATGTCCACCGCTGACTTTGCTGTACTAGTTTACTGGCGCTGTTAAGCAACTTGTCAGCAAAACGGCGGTCACTGACACCTAGCTCCTGCAATCGGCAAGGATTGCTGAGATTAGTTTGACTAATTCACGGTGGAACGTACCGTACGCGCCGCGAGGGAATAGTCCGGACGTAGATAAGGACCGCAGGGCAACGACGGCACCATCCCCAACATCCCATCGAAACGCTCTCTTTGCTCTGCACACAATGGTCGAATTCAAGGGCTACGCACTTACCAGTGAGCCATGACCGCAGCCGACCCGCACGCAACGTTCCCACTGACCACCCCCATCCCACAGACACCGACGGGCCTGACGCCTGGAAATCCCTCGAAGTTGTCTCCTTCGAGCCCAAGAAGTTTGAGGAGGACGACGTCGAGCTCGCCATCACGCACTGCGGCGTGTGCGGCTCCGACGTGCACATCCTCCGCCAGGGCTGGGGCAGCGTGCCGTACACGCCCATCGTCTGCGGCCACGAGGTCGTAGGGAAGGTCACCCGCGTCGGATCGAAGGTCACGGAATTCAAGGCCGGCGACCGTGTGGGCCTGGGCGCGGTGGTGGACAGCTGTGGGCACTGCCGCAGGTGCCAGTCGGGCAACGAGCAGTATTGCCCAGAGGTGACGCAGACTGTGGTAAGTGACGCCCTCAATGCAGATCGGACGTATTCTGTCGCTCATGCTGACCGAACTGCCATGCGCGTAGAACGCCCGTCACCGCGACGGAACGCCTGTGCAGGGTGGGTTCGCCACCGCCATTCGCGCTAATGAGCGAGCCGTGTTTGCGATCCCAGACGGGATTGAGTCCAAGGACGCGGCGTCAATGTTTTGTGGCGGCGTGACTGTGTTCTCGCCCATGCGCAGGAGCAACATCGGGCCAGGGTCGAAGGTTGGCGTGATCGGTATAGGAGGCCTCGGGCACTATGCCATCCTGTTCGGTAAAGCGCTTGGCGCGGAGGTGTATGCGTTCACGCATAGCCCCAGAAAACGCGAGGACGCGAAAAAGCTCGGTGCAGACTTTGTCGTCGACACCGGCGTCGAGGTACATACGTGTTCTGCCCGTATACTTATGACAAAGTGGAACTTACGCTCTTTCCGGATTTTTGCAAATAGGACTTTCAGAAGTCGTATTTCGACACGCTCGACATGATCATCTCGACCACCAACGTCTTCCGGCCAGGCATTTCCTTCTCCACGTACACGAGTATGCTCACCGTCAACGGCAAGTTCGTCAACGTCGGCCTTCCCAACAGCGACCAGGCCATGCCGCCGCTCCAGGCATTCGACATGCTCACGAGCGGAGCCTTCATCGGTGGCTCGTACGTCGGCAGCAAGACCGACTGCTACGAGATGTTGAAGGTTGCCGTCGAGAAGGGCGTGAAGCCGTGGATCCAGGAACTACCTATGCGGGATTATAAGATTGCTCTCGAGGCGGTACACAACGGGGACGTGCGATACCGATACGTGTTGACGCAGGACATTGTGCCAGTACCGTAGGTACTTCGCAACGCATATGATGTAGCCAACCAGTGAGCGGTCGGCTGGAATTTGTGCTTGTGCTTGTAAATTTAGCTTACTACCATTGACGGTCGATGACGCGGGACTACGTCGGGCGACTACAGTAAAATAAGATACTGCGGTCAATGAGCTAACCATGGGGCTCGCAGGTCAAGTACACGCACCATTATCACAATCCCAGGCCGCGGAGGTATCGCGAGTCAAGCACAACAGTGCGACGACCGGTCACCATTGATTGACAGCACCAATAGCCGAGTCATCGTCGGTGAAATTATTCACTGTGAAGAATCATGTACAAGAGATTGAGCTGAAGTCTCGCACTGCAAGTACGCACGGTGTACTTATTCAGAGAAGACGAGGACCAGCAACTTAGCAAGAGCCAGCAAGGACCACGTCCGTCCCACTTCAAGTTGTACACGCGTAAGCGCCCTATTTCTATTTGGGCTCTGGCAGTGGCAGCTGTGCCAGTGAGAAGACAACGACCACGTGCGCACACCGTCTACTCATCATGTTCTGCATGATGATAATGATATGTATGTAATTTCGAATGCCGCGATTGCCTACTCGACCGGCACGAGATCCTGCTTCAACACATAACGGTAGCGCACGTCTCCATTATGCACCCCCTCGAGCGCGGTCTTGTACTCGCGCATCGGCAGCTCCTGCACCCACGGCTTCACACCCTTCTCCGCCGCAACCTTGAGCATCTCGTTGACGTCGCGCTTGCTGCCGACGAGGGAGCCGCCAACGAACGTGCCGTTCCAGAGGATGTCGGACGCCTGCAGGGAGGGCATGTCCTTGTCGGCGTCGGGCAGGCCGACGTTGACGAACTTGCCGCACGGCGTGAGCATGCTTGTGTAGGTGAAGTAGGTGACGCCCTTTGGGAAGACGTTCGTCGTCGAGATGATCAGATCGAGCGTGTCGAAGTAGGGCTTCTGATAGTCCTGTAGCAGAGAATCGCAAGACGTCAGTTGGTCGGCAGGCGGTGCAATGAGCGCTAGAACATACCTCGACTCCAGTGTCGACCACAACATCCGCGCCGAGCTTCTTCGCATCCTCCTGCTTATTCGGGCTGTGCGTGAAGGCGTACACCTTCGCGCCCAATGCCTTCGCGAACAGGATGGCATAGTGACCAAGACCCCCGATGCCGATCACGCCGACCTTCGTTCCCGGCCCGATGTGGTTCCGCCGCAGTGGCGAGAAAACTGTGACGCCGCCGCAAAGCATCGAGGCAGCATCCTTGGATTCGATCCCCTCGGGAATGGCGAACACGAAGCGCTCGTCGACGCGGATGGCGGTAGCAAACCCGCCCTGCACGGGGGTCCCGTCAGGGAAACGGCTGTTCTGCGGGACACGAACTACTAGTCAACGGACTGGCACGCGGGCGGAGTCAGAACGACATGGGACGTACCACAGCGCTGACAGAGGCAGTGCAGTACTGCTCGTTGTCGTGCGTGCACCTGTTGCACGTCCCACAGCTGCCCACCTTCGCGCCCACGCCGACGCGATCGCCGGCCTTGAACTCCGTGACCTTCGGGCCGACGCGGACGACCTTGCCGACGATCTCATGCCCGACGACGAGCGGCGTATATGCGACATCCCCCCAGCCCTGTCGCAGGATGTGCACGTCGGAGCCGCACAGGCCGCAGTGCGTTATGGCGAACTCGACGTCGGTGTCCTCGAATTTCTTTGGCTCGAATTCGACCACCTCGAGCGAGTTCCACGCGGCGCGATCAGCCTCTGCGCAGTGCGGACGAGCAGTTAGTGAGGCGGACGGGAGGGGACAGGAGGGCCAAGCTTACTGGTGAGTGCGTATCCCTTGAATTCGACCATCGTGGGAGGGAGGGGTATCTGAGTAAAGCCTTGCGAAGCTGGACATGGTCTCTATATAATACCAGGACTCCGACGTCCGTCACCATATATAGTTTCGCCTGGTGCGGATTCTAAGATAACATACGTCATTGACTAGCCATAGTTTTCTGCGAAGGACAGCGGTTTTATGCAAGCTTGATGCCTGTCGATCGTGGGTCGTCGAAGGTCGTCGATGACGCGAGTCGGCCAATTGCGGAGTAGGGACACACTGCTTTCCTCCTTCAATTGTCGACGGGCTACTGAGTGAGTGGGTCAGAAGCAGAACGCCAAGGCAGCGCAGGCGAAGGTATGAACGATGAAGCGGAGACAACAACGGAAGGTACGGCCGTTCAAGCTACGGTTATCACACCATTACGTTTTCCGTGATACTTCCGCCCCCGGTCCAGCACTCACAATATTGAACCATGTGATACCACGGAAGCCCTAAGGACAAGTATAAATCCGGCCGTCCTTTGCGCGAACGTTCTGACTATGGAAGCAATTGGGAATGCAAATCGCTGGCAGGAGGCTTGGAAGGACAGAGAGGGCTTGTGGTATGGAAAAACGGACGGTCCTGGACGTGGGTCCTCGGCGGATGAACTCTGAGCCTCTCTGAGCACTGTGGCCTGCTTACGCAACGCGTCGAAGCTGTACGTATAACTAAATGTGTGTAAGTCGTCGAGGGAGTGAGGTAGACGAGTCACCAACTTTGAAGTTTACAACTTCGATTTGCATAGCTGTGGTGATCAAGTTGGGATAAGTATTCTTCAGCAGTGCATAACCTCGCGACTAGATCGTAGACGCATCTACGAGGTCGGATGGAGAATGTGTGCCATGGGGACGTGCGCGCCAGCACTTCCCACGCCACAAACGCGTTGACCCGTGACTCTGAATTCGAACGCGAGCACGTCTCTGAGTTTTGCACTTGCACCGAACCGCCGCACACACTCTCACAACGACGACGCTACGTTGACCTCTGTTTTACAGGGCTTCGTCATTGTAGCTATCCCTGTCAAACGACTTTTAGCGCCATCGAATAGAGCACAACCTTTCGGCGTCATCGACTCATCAGGTACCCACTGGCGTACCGCGTCAATCTGAAGTCGACTCGATGACAGGATACGACATAAGCTCAAGCGAATCTCGGATGTCGACCGAATCCGTCAAGCTACCTCGAGACTGAGAAGTCTCCCCTAGGACGCTCAGGGCTTCGCAATAAATGTGGAAGGTTGGTTGTGATCTGCATCCTGAACGAATTCGAAGGCAGCGGGAGGCGTCCGCACACCAGAACGATTCTCGTTGTGTCGACGCTGACGTCCTGAATGCTCCCTCTCTCTGTCTACGAGCTAGCTCACCCCAAGCTCACAGGCTCTCTGTCGCCCGCAATGGGGAAGCGACGAACTGCACCGATCGCGCCGCACGCGCCGTAAGCTTACCTCCAGCTTAAGTCAAGCTCGCGGCGGGCTCACGCGTCTGCGCCGCCCGAAGCGCGTCATCCCATTCATCGTCACTCCCACACTTCCCGCCTCGTCATGAAAAGTTGACTGCCAGTTGGTCATCAGTCTCGATCCAGGTCTAAACGGCGCTGCGCGCGGGTTTGTGTAGAACCTGAGCTGTTCATATATACATATAGCTTCCGAGCGAGTCCGCGCGAAAGGTACATATGTAAGTGCTCCTGATCAGATTGCGCGACAAAATCGATGGCAGACTGCCAGTGATGGACACTCAGGGAGTTGAACCCTGGACCTTACGCATTTACACTCGACGGATGGGACATGCGAAGCGTACGCGCTACCAACTGTGCCAAATGCCCGACAAATTCAGACTCATCGTGCTCTGTATGGATCCGTGAGTGGTCCTTGCTCTTGAAGAGCTGTTATGATACTATTCTCAGATCACGGATGGCAGGTGACGCAAATGTGGCAAGCAGCAGAGCCTTTCGAGAGTCGGTGAAGCATTCCCTGATCATGAAGATGTCGCACGTACTCGAGAGACCGTATACGTACAGGTGAGCAGGCTCGCCTTGCCAACGGTGATAGGTAACTCAGCTCTCCGGGAACATCGTCATTCTAACCTTCTGGCACACCTGAATGCGCGGCTCGCAGGCCCTACATACCGACTCGCACGTCGCGATATGGCCATTCGCCATGCCAGGTACACAGACAGGTTTGACAGCCCCCTATAGCCAAGTGCTGACTTCGGCGAACTCGGGCACGGATGCGGATGGTACCACTCCTGTGCGTTCAGCCCGCCGTACCGCCGGCAAACCGCACCGATTGTACGCCGACCACCCTTGTCTCTGGTATTGCGGCTTGCGGGTGCGCCGTCATGTCATGCTGCCGCCGCGTACGGTTGTCGGCGGTCGCGTGGACCCCCAGTCTTCGAGCGTGGTTCACCGCCACCGTCCATACACGCACCTGACCGTCTCCGTTAACAGTGTGTACTAAGCGTTGCCATCGTGGCTTCGCCGTGGACGGAACACCATCGGGGTTCAAGTGGACACGAACACGCGCAGTCTATGGCCGAAGCCACATCATACCGGACAATCCTGCGAGTCGTGGGACCGTTCCGTGCCGTGCTGATCCTGTCTGGTCACGCCGGGCTGCTAATGAAGTGAGGTACGACGCGGATCATCGTCTGTCCGGATCCCTACCTGACCACCACCCCATCCCACGCTGGTAGCACGGCGACCCGTTTCGGGGGCGTCGACCGCAGCGAGTAACGTGCGTCCGCCGGTCTTGGTTTTGGATGACGAGTGATCCTCCTACAGTGTCCATGGCAAGATTCCGCGCCGCTTCTGTTCGATACGAATAGGTTGGGTTACGCAGAGCGAAGGAGCGCAACTCGACAAGGACGAACAGCAGTAAGTAGTCTCCGTTGCAGACCATACAAGCCGGCGCAGAACAGGTCCCTTCGCCGCTATCGATCACAGGCCCTCCGGTCCGCGCGGACGCGCTCCGGCGCAGCGTGCCTGGCTCAATGAACTTCGCGATCCGTCGTGTCCGGTGCGTGGACACATTCCCAGCGACCACACAGAGCTCTGTCGATGGGACGCTCAGGTGCAGAATCGACGCGTCCAGCGCCCACGACCCCAGGGATATGGACTCACCTTTGCCTGACTGCCCAGCTTCTCCTTCCCTGCCAGACGGAGATGAAGTGCCCGGGACCGTGCGTGGACGCGAACGTTCAAACGAGCCATGTTCAGCACGTATGACGGGTTCTGACGCCGCGCTTCAGCTTCGCGTTCGACGAGGTTCGACGCGGTACGACGAAGTCGCCTTATCAAGCCGCACGGCGACGCGCGCTGATAGAGTGCACCTGGATTAAACTCACGCGTAGAGTTTGCGATAGGCGCGGATTCGCCCATCGGCGTGCAGTATGGGGGCAGGCACCGCAGCTAGCAATGAACGCGATTGAGGAAGCATGCACATGCGCCGGTCTGGGAGTGCGCAGGGTTTGTGGGGAGGACCGGGAAGCGGGTGTCACATCGGCATCGACGCGTCGGAGGGTTTGTGCGCTGGACAGGCGACGTCGGGTTGGCAGCAGTGCCGGTGACGGCCGTCATTGATGTACTCTGACAACACGTTCGCCCCTGGGCCTCCACCTGCAGCGCAGCTGAAGATCTGACGCGGACGGACGCTGTGAGGTGCATGCAAGCCGTTCACGGGGCGGACCAAAGCAGCACGCCGGATGCGAGCCCAGATAAACAGATCAGTAAGATCGCTGTACAGTGCAGTATACCGGTACGTCGTATCGTACAACAAAACAGCATAGGGTAACTGAATAAGGGTACAGGTAGAGGGATACGTGGAATGTGCGTCCGCAACGCGAGCAAGCGAGGTCATCGTGGTTCGTGCAACTTCCCTGTGAGAGGCAGAGGAGCACCAGACAGACATGAACGGGGGAACGGACGTGGACGTGGACGTGGACGCCAGAACGTAGGGTAGGTGAGTATATGTGCGCGTGCGCGTATGCATGGATGCAGGCGAGAGCGAGACGAGGCGGGACCGATCGAGCGGAGACTGAGACGGCAATTACCCTGGCCAGACTGTAGTGTATGGAGACCGTCCGGTATAGTGTTCGTTCGTACATTTGCGTGAAGTTCCGTGGTGCTTTTGTGTGGAGTATAGGCCGAGACTGTGGAGCAGGGAGTAGAGCGGAGCAGACGAGAGGGAGGAGACGAGACCAAGGAGGAGACGCGCCAGCGCGAGAGACCGAGGAGCAGCGGGAGTATGGGGTGCGTGTGGGGGACCGTGCTAACGCGGCGTCGTGGCGGCCCTGCGCATCGGCGGGCGAGTATCTGCGCCGACGTTCCGCCACCGCTTCTCCCATTCCTGCAGTGCTCTACGGGGCGTCGTGAGCGACCAGACACGACCAGGAAGACGCGCGCACACGCACCTGACGAAGCCGCCGTTGGGCTTGATGCACGCGCGCTTGCGGCGGACGAGGTCGAACGCGGTGTCGTAGGTCATGTTCTGCGTGTAGATGAGGTACGCGATCACGATGGCCGCGCTCCTGCTCACGCCCTGCGCTCCGAAACACGCTGCCGTAAGTACACGCGGCGACACGCGCACCGAGCCGAGACACGCACCTGCTGGCAGTGGACAAGGACGTTGACGCCCTTCCTGAGGCGGTCGTCGATCCAGCGGACGGCCTGCTCGAGGTGGGGGCGGATGTCGGCGGAGGAGCTGTCGAGGATGTCGAGGCGGTAGCAGTCGATGGCGCGGGTGCCGCCTGCGGTGGGGTCGGGGACCCAGGGGGCGTCGAGGACCTGGACGAGGGCGGAGACGCGGTGCTGGTCGAGGAGGGGCTGGTCGAGGACGGCGGAGAAGGAGCCGAGGTAGAGCGCGCCGGTGTGGTGGGCGGCGGAGGGCGGGATGATGAGGTGCATGGGCGTGCACATGGCCTGCATGACCTCTGGCGGGAGGTTGTCGAAGCGGATCATGGTCGGCTGGGCGTGGACGGCGAGGCGAGGCGAGGACGACGGGGCTTGTGCGGCGAGGAGGGGCGAGAGCTGGTGGCGAATGGAGGAGGAGGGCTGGGCTTATAAACGGGGGAGCGGATGGACACTCGCAGAGCCGTCGACCGCGATCTAGATCCTGTCTCTCCGTCCCGGGCGCTTCCCCGCGCTCTTCGACGTCCGCCCGATCCCAGATCTTATCGATTTCCGAAGGCCATTTCCGGTGACGTGACGTGCCCTCGACGCGCACTCACCGTCCTCGTCGCCTCTCGCCGCCGTCTTGGACGACCTCGGCGACGACGGACATCGCGCCACGCTGGGCCAACACGCCGCTGCCGGACCCCACGGGAGCATCCCACGTCTCTGTATTCGGCGGTGAGTCGTGGGCCCCATGGAGCTGGCACCAACCCTTCCAGCGAGCCGTTTCCGCTCCCCTGCTCCTCTTTCCTCGAACTCCTCCTCCGCTCATCCGGAACGCCAGGCGGACGCTCCCACCTACCACCCCCGGTGTGATGTGATGCCACTCGTATCTGTCCACCCTCTGCGGCACGGCACCCACATCGACAGATGTACGCCACTTGTAGAGGTCGTTCTGTATGAGGAACGCTGGGCCCTCCCTCCCCCCTGGCCACACAGTCTGCACACCACTCCGAGTCGGACACGTATAGCCGCAGGGCCCCGCAGCGCGCACGGTTGCACAGCAGCCCATATCCGAACCCGCGGGTCGTCTCGCCCGCGGGCCGTCATCGATGCAGCGCCCGCCCCCCACAATGACGTCGCGCGAGGCCGCTGTAGGTACGCCAGTCGATCGCCATCACGCCGCGCGTCGACGTCCATACGTGCGGGACCGTATGTCCGTGCGGCGGAGGCAGTACGCCCCGGATCCGCACCCAGCCACCCATCCGGTCTCCAACCCGGCCACTCCATCCCGCGAATCTCGGACCCACAAGGAACACGCCGGCCGGTCTCTGTACATGTCGTGGTCGCCTGTCGATCGCGCCTTCGATTCCGAGTCGGGTCACTGTCACTGCGTCGCCCGTCCTACCTCCTCCCGGCAACACCGTGCCAGGGGCTCACACCGCCGGACCTCGCCCTTTCCGCCTTCTATGTCCGTGATTCGGGCTGCTGCCAAGTTACAGAGGCGAGGGTTCCATTTCCGAGGCCGAAACGTGACAGCTGGGCCCGGGGATCGCGCCGTTCGAATCTGAATGACTATGCGGTTGGCGGGGGCATTCATTGCATCTCGGAAGCCGCATCTCGTCCGTGCCGGCGACCGCCACTGTGCGGTGATGTCCACTCGGTGGCCTGGACACACGGGCGATCGCTCCGTCCTGAAGGGGCTACGTGCGATCGAAGCCTGCCCAGGAGGTCGGCGGTCACAAGTAACGAGCGGTCCCTTTCTGTGCGCGGGCGTGCACGGCAACCTCGTCTCGCTTCAGTCGGTTTGCGGTGCATATCGGCTACCAGCAGGGTTGTCGTCTAGAAGCCATCCCTACGCGTTTGCCACTCCGCGCTGCTCTGGTCTGTCTGTGCTTTTCCGCGCGCTCTATATTACAGTACTTTGCTTGATACCATATGCGACGCAAACCCCCAGGTCTCGCTCCTGGCTGACACGTTTGTCTGCTGCAGCCCACGGCCACCAGGCTCCCAGCTATACACAGATGCCTCTGCTCGTCGACAACCACCGTCTCATCTGTCGCACCCAACGGTTCGCCCGCCTCAGTATACGGCACACCAGACTTGGGGGAGCCTCGTGTCGCGATCGGCCATGCAGTCGCGCGCGCGAGTCTATCACTCGCGAAGCCCCTGCTCGCTCGGCCCGGAAGGCTTACTTCCAGTCCTGTCATGGCGCGCGTGGTCAGCTGTCGCCCGTGCTTCTGAGGACGCCGCGTCGTGTCGTGTCGTGTCGTGCTTCTCAAGACGCTCCGTCGAGCTTCCCTTTTGGTACTCACGACATCCACGTCCGGAACTGGACAACTGCGGAATGGAAGCTCAGCCTGTCAGAAGGGCGAGGCACGCGTGGCGGGTGACCCGTGCGACTCGGAGGGAGGGCGGAGGTGGACGGGAAGGTTTGAAGGCTCCCGGGAAAGGAAACACGTTTTCCGTATCTCGACATGCAGGACAGCGCTGACCGCCTCGCCAAGAATGCTAGATCCGGGTGAACGCCTTCGCAGCTGTTGTCTGGGCCCAGTGCTGGAGGATGCCCCCCAGCCATCGCAGCCATTCGCGGACGAGCAGCCCCCGCTCTTCTAGAATGAGCGTCCGCAAACGGACGTCCCCATTCCAACTCGCGACAAAACAAAGTTGGCACAGCACTCGCAGCACCCATCCAACGGCGATCCTCCATATCCGGCCCCGTTCTAGCGCACGAACGTCTCCCTGAGCGCTGGGATCATCCTAGCCGACTTTTCGCCATCACCCTCGTATTCACGCGTCCAGGCTCGAGGCACACAACTCGCCTCGTGTGCAGAATATCGCGGCTGTACGTACGAGCCTATCACTGCGCCGTCCGCCTTCCAGCGCAGCACTACTGTCCCGGCCCGGCCCTCCCGCCTCTCCGTCGTCGTATGCCATGCCGGTGCACGATCGATCCTCCCAGCGGCTCCATGTTGCAGGTGAACTAAGAGGGGCCACGGTGCGAACCGTGCCCATACGCGTACGCGCGGGTCCGGCGAGCGCCTCTCGTCCTCGTCCTTCTTCCAGCTAGCACTCGCACTGATAGAGCCTAGACGGACACGCGCGCGGCGTGCTGAGATCCGGATAGGCTGGCCGAGGTGAGAGGCGACCCGCATCCTCGCACCCCGTTACGGCAGCACGTCTGACAGCTACGCCATTGCGTCTCCCGCTCGATACGCGGCCCAGGGCGGACCAGACGCTCTCGCCCGCCACGGAAAGTGCTCAATAGGTGAGAGCGCACACCGGCGCGGCAGACGATCCTCCCGTCCGAGCCACGGACGATCGCACACGCGTCCACAGCCGTCGCGCGGACGGTCTCAGAGACTAGGAAAGGTGCACCGGGGTTCCACCGCTGGAGGACGTGAGTTCGTATGGATGGATGGGCGTACCCTCGACGCCTCGTGGCGGACCGCTGATAGGCTTGTTCGAGGAACCGTGACGGCGTTAACGACTTCTGAACTCGAGCGTGCGTGCCCGCGAGCTTGTTGGGCAGCAGGACGGCGCTCCGTGCCAGTCGGACTCGAGGTGCTTCCTCCCGGACCTGATCGATGATCCACGGGCGATGAAGTATTGGTGCGTATACCAAGCGCATACTTACTGTCGTTGTTTTCGCTGGTCAAGATGGGTCAGCAGGCAGAGGAGATACTCTATGCGCCTTGAGGATGTCATTCGCAACGGCCTCGACGCTTCTGTGAGTAGCGCGTGTCGTCGAACGTGATCCAGCCTGAGAAGGGCGCCGGGTCGAAGCAGCCTTTATCTCGTCAATGCCTAACGGATCCTGCCAGCATCCCGTAAGCAAAGCTCGATCCCTGTTTTCCATTGGGTCTGCTCCCTGTGACGATAGGCTTTCATCACTAATGACACGCGCGAAGTCGGCGTATAGGGTCGTGGTGATGCTCTAGTACGGAATCAATACAACGCCTATTTTCCGCTCGACCGACATTCTGCCCTATCCTCATCCCACCAGCAACGGTATGCCCAACGAGCCGGACCTGGTGCACCCGTCTCCCATGCTAATGTGACGACTCAAGGAAGAACCCGCCATACGCCGCCGTGGTGCGCCTTCTCACTTGCCACTTCAGTAGCGTGTACTGAACACGGCTCGTCAGGGTCCAGTGGTCTATATGCATATGTATCCCCGCAGCTGCGTGCCTAATCATCTGCCTCCATACCGCTGCTCCACGCCTACCTATCTCGCTCGTGGCCCCGGCGTCCGACGGTTCGAACTCGTCTTTCCCGCTCTCTTCCCGTCGGATCGACCCGAGCGCGCGGAAACTCTGAAGAGATGGCATCTCAATAAACCTGCCTGCGAGTCATCTGCCAATCTGCATTCTGCGGGCTGCTAATCTTGCTTCGAGATGCGGTTCAGACCCGTGCGGGCCTCTGGTCTCATTTTGATTTCCGAGCTGTCGGCGCACTGGCCCATATCTACTCGGGCTCGAGCAGGTTGCTCGCCTGTGAGCTGCAGTTTGGCGTGGCCGTCTCGTCTGCTTACTCAGGATCTGGTTCCGGTGTGTACGTTGGTTCTGTCCGGGTTGCCTCGACTGACTGGCAGCACAGTTCGCAGCCGTGAGAATGCGTCACCCACTCGTCTCAAATGGCTGCGAGCAGCAGTGCTAAACGCGCGAGTGCTCACGCCTCTGTCTTCCATGTAAGAAATGCATGCGTACTTGGCGCCACGCATTGCGTGCAGGCATCCGTGGCGCCCACGCCAAATAGCCTATTGGGAATACCGGGTCCCGCAAGACACTCGAGTCCAGACGCGCATCCGAGCCTGTGTGGCACGAAGCGTCCGGTCCGCAGTGTCCCCCCGCACCCCCACAGAGACGCCCCGCCCCGGGTGCTCAAGCCCTTCTCGAAGGCTGCGTTACGTCTTCGGTGCGATTTGAAGGCACGTCCGAGTCTACTTCACGAAATGCATGCTTACAAGATCCGAGCCGAACGCGTGTCTACGCGCTAGGCGTCCGCCATGTCGTGTTCTGACTGTCAGGTGAAGGGTATCCGCTTGCGAATCGCAGTATGCGCACACCGGACAATGAAGCCGGCCAAGAGGCCTCCGACGACCAGCGCACGTGTCTGCTTAACCAGAGAAAAGCAGAGGGGATAGAATCGACGAGGCGTATGCTACATACATGCGAGCGACATTAACGACGTATCCCGACCGTAGCAGCAGCGCGATTGGCTGCCACTCTATATCGTAACTGTGTACAGTAGACGTACATATGTATACTACTTACAAGCATCTGCGCCCGCACCCAAAAGGACAACAGCACCCACACGGGGCTCTAAACCGAACGCGTCCTCGCAAGGACTAATCCCCGAGCCGCATACAGTAGTCGGGGTTGCCCGTCGGGTTCAGCCCCCAGTTCGGGAACGGGACGGCCTTGCCCGACGCGCCGCCGACGGCGAACGAGTACACGAACACCATGATCTGCGTGCCGCCGTCGAGCGCGGCCGAGAGCAGGAAGTTGTACTTGCGGAACCAGCGCGGGCGGTACTTGCGCAGGTACCACTGCGAGAACACCGCGACCGCGAGCGACGTCATCCACGACGAGTTGATGCCCACCGACAGGTACCCGAGCTCCGCGATCACGACGGGCGTGAACACGAAGTTGAACCCCGCCTTGGGCCACAGCCGGTGCGCGATGTAGAACGGGATCGGCAGCGCGAGCCCCGCGATCAGCATCCACGGGATGAACCCGTACCGCGCGCCCGGCGCGTACAGCGGCTTCGCGAGCGCGCCCCACGTGATCGCCGCCGAGTTGTACGACTGCACCTGCTGCCCGGACCACACGTTCGTGCCCTGCACGTCCAGCAGGATCTCGCGGTTCCCGGCGATGACGGACTTCATGATCACGTAGTTGAGGATGCCCCCGACGATCCCGCCGATGGTCTGCATCAGGAACGTCACCCGCGGCGGGAGCTTCGTGTACTGCCCGAGCTTGAGGTCGCGCAGCATGTTCAGCGTCAGCTGGTACGTCTGGTAGCCGTCTGGTCTGCGTGTCAGCCGTGAGAGCACGCCACTGCAGAGGGGCACTCACAGAGCGTGAAGAACATGTTCGCGACGGGCTTGCCCGGGATCATCGCACCGCCCACCATCTGGATCAAGAACTGCAAGCTCGGCTGGTACCCTACCGTCGCATAGAGCGTGCCCAAGATCGGCACGAACGCAGCCGAGAAGATGAGCGCGACGATGAAGCCCCACCAGGGGAGGCCCGAGTCCGCGGCGTAGCAGAGGCCGAGGCCCACTCCGAACGTGACGCAGAAGAGGGCCCCGAACCACCAGAGGGGGGCCTCCTTGTAGACCTTCATCTTCTGATAGTGCACGTCCTGGCACTCATGCGTGCGCACGTTCCGCACGACCTCCCAGACGTCCTTGAAGTGCCAGATGAAGAAGTGCGTCACCGCGGCTGTGCGCGAACGGGGTTGTCAGACATCGCACGGCGCGGAGGGAGAGACGACACTCACTGCCGATGTACGCCGTGCGCGAGAGCTGGTAAAGCGTCTGCGAGGCGGCGTAGTAGGGCAGGCCCTGCTCCTCGAGCAAGGTGTTGTTGAGCGTAAAATCGGCGTTCAGGATCGACAGCTGATCGTACTCTGTGCCGTTCTGGTAGAACAGCAGCTGCGACAGGAACGGGAAATTCTGGGCGTGCCACACATTGCGCGCGTAGCAGGCGCAGAACGCAATGCTGCGTGCGGCAGTCAGTACGCGGGGGCGTGGAGAATCAGAGACACGAAAAGACTCACATGCAGACGACGACGCCAGAGTAGATCGAGAGCTGCGTCGCGAGAGGGGTGAACAGTGAGCCGATCGCGGAGCCGCCAGACCCGATGTAATTCCAGTCGAGCGAAAGGGCGAAGAGACCCAGGCCCTCATTCCCGGCAGCGCCGCCAAAGATGCGAGTGACCCAGGGGCTCTTCCGATCCGCCAGGCAGAAGATCGAGATACCCGTGAGCGTCCTACCGAGTCGCACGCGTCAGCACACCATCCGGGAGGAACGAGCGAGTTGTGGACGCACGGTGCGATGTACTCCGGGAACCACTCCCAGACGAAGATGGCAATGAGGACGCTCCAGAAGAAGACGCGGCGCTTCTTCTGGAGGAAGGCGCCCTGGCCGCGGTGCATGGCATCAAAGAGCTGGACCTGGGGCATGAGGAACGGATAGACGGCCCATGTCGGGTAGACTAGGTAGTCTCGCGCGAGTCCCGTCAGACCGTATCCGATCAGCTGGGACGTGATCAACCTGTGTCGGGTGACCCGTCAGCATCGCCATGAGAGGAAGCAGAGGAGACGAAGACATACGTGAAGATGCCGATGGCGGGGCCGACCGAGACGTTATAGTAGAGGTCTTGGGCGGCAAAGACGGAGATAGCGATGGCCTGGTCCGAGGCGGTGGTCTGGCGTGGGGGTCAGCAGGCGCGTCTGCGATGGCGCATGGCATGAAACCACGCGTGAGCACTCACCGACATGATGCTGATGGCGACGTGCTCCTTGATATCTACGACAGCGATACGGGACACGTGAGTAGCAGTGGATGGGATAGGGCAAAAGACGCACTGAAGCCTCCGGGGTTGATGAAGCGCCAGAAGCGATTGTCGGGGGTGCGCATCTTGTCGATGGCGTGGTTGGGCCCGGGGAGTACGGCCTCGAGCCCGCGACCGAGGATGAAGGCGAGAACCTGGAGGAAGAGACCGGATACCTGGACGGTCTGGGGACGGAAGTACTGTTGCGCGGTCGTCAAGGCTCATTACATGAGACTGCTTGAGAAAAGGTAACGTACGAAGAGTTCGCCGAGGACAGCGGCGAAGCAGGCAAGGCCGAGACCGAGGAACCAGGTGCGGAAGGTCAGGATGGGCAAGGTGGGATCATCGTCGAGAGAGACAAGACGGAGGGCATAGTCCTCCCCTGTCTCGATGGGACGCTCCTTGCCGGACTCGTCGAGGTCGATTGCACGGACGTCCTCCGATACCTGGTGCACAGTCAACGGTGCATACGGTAGCAGAAAATCATGATACGCACATCACCAACGGCGTTGGGGTCGACATCCACGCCGGCATCGAGGACGGGAAGGTCGAGAGGACCCTTCTCGTTGGCGATGGACTTCTCGTCGGACATAGAGGAGTCGGACAGCTTGCGCTCGACTGTGGCCATGTTGGATCACGACCCAACCAGGGTGGCGGGGGATGATGGCGACGAGGGCGTCGAGAGAAGAGCCGGGTTCCTCGGCGCACGATAACATGACCTGCGAGCTTATAAGGATGAGAAGCGAGCGGGGTAAGACTGGGCAGATGTGGCCAAGGCACGGCGAAAATGAGGCAAGTCGACATGATAACTCCAGGAACCAGCGGGCCACATGGAGCAGGGGAGGAGGACGAGGAGCGCACCTCTGCTATCAGCCAGACGCCCATGCGCCCATATGCTTCCCTCGTCCCAAGCCAGATCCGATCGTCGCTGGTGGCGGCCCGCTCCCTGGCCCGCCTCCGCCACCCGCTCCTCGATCTCTTCCTCAACTTTGCAAACGACCCGCCCGCGCCGCACGACCCTACTCGCGGCTGGCTCCCAAACAACGATTTTCTGTGCCCCGGGGACGTACGGACTGGCGGTCACTGTCACCCGATGTCTGGACACCTTTCAAACCTTGCTATCTTACCGCCTCGAATGCATAGCAAGGCGGGAGTAAAGTCTGCACAGGATCCAGGCACTTACCATCCATTCACGTCCTTGGCTCAGGAGAAGACGTGTGCCTAGCATTGCGGCAAGCATTGCGTCGTGCTCTGCCAGCATACCAGAACGCCGGCATCTTGTAACTTGTTGACGAAGGCTATCGTGTGCACAGGCACCGAACGCTTAATGAACACCGGGAATTGGCGGGTGTAAGTACCTTGGTCGTTTGCCGCACCGTCGGTCCCGGTGCCTCCAGAGGCCTTGGGTCTCGGTACTACACTCCAGCCCACCGTTCAGCCTAGTCCCACTGACTGGGTCGCTATTCTTGCGTTCCGTGTGCCTTTACCATTAGCCCGACGCCGGACCCATGCCGTCGAGCGTCCACGAGTGTATACGCATCCACTGTCAGAGGCGGCAACCCGTCCCCGCAAAATCCACCTTACGCGTCTGTGGGGCAGGATGTCGTGCTCTCGATACAGACCTGCGTCGTCATCCTCGCGCTGCATACCCAATTGTGCTCCGAATCCCGCACGGCCCCATGCCCGTCGACTCCTCTAGTATGTAAGCCATAACATTCTGTCCGCTCCGTCAGGTCGGATCTCTTCCAGATGTTCCTGTTGAGCCCCATGGGGACATTGCGCCCACCTTTCAATGCGAAGTGCTGCAAGTTCCATGCGTGTCTGGTCCTCGTACTAACCTCGAAAAATTGACGGAGATGCCTTGGTCTCCCTTCTCTCATGTTAGACCCCAGCTCTCAGTCAACAAGCTTGGAGCAGCAATCGCGCGCAAGTGTGCCCCCTCAACCGCCTCAACGCTCCCCAGGGTGAGGCCATCGTGGCACATACCGATGGAAAACCTACCTCTCGCCACGAGATGAAGTCAACCCAACGGGCCGTCGAGGCACATTTCTTCCAGATTCGCGAGCGAAGGCTATATACTCTAGCATCGCACCCCCAACTCGGTACGTCTCCATGCCGCTCGTATGTCCTGAGCGCTGAGCGACGACGTCAGCTGTGCCGGCGAGTTGCTCAGAATTGCGACGCTGACTCGCAGGAAACGAATGTGTCAGCCACATGGGCATGCCAAGCTGCGGTGTAGCTACATTTCTCGCCAGAGCCAGAGGCCAGGCGTCTTGACGTGTGGACTTTAAGTTGTCCGCAACGGTCAATCACCGAGGCGGCCCAAAGATTGGGACGCATGTCGAAGAACCCAAACTCCACATTGACCTTACGCCGCATAGCAGGCGGTCGTTGAGCCAATATTAGACGGAGGACTGTCGCGTCGAAGGGCGGTGCACCGTAGAGTCGCTGGGTATACCAATGTAGAAAAAAATGCTCACTACATTCCGAATACGACTGAATGTGTTCTTCGGACTACGCTGCTAACTTGACTTGAGATCTTGAGACCCGCGAAGGGGAAAGACTCAATAGCAGAGACGGGCGACGCGGCGGTTCATAAGTACGTACACACGATAGAAGAGTGTTGCCCACGTGGAGACGAGCGTTGGGCGGAAGCGAGATCGACGGCATCTTTCGAGACCCCCAACACGAGCGATGTGGTGCTCCCGCGCCCCGAGGAACCGACCCGGAAAGGGGGCACCACGCCCGCAAATGTTCAACGATGTGGTTGACCAGTGACAGAGCGACGGTCGCCAGCAAGTAATGAATTGGTCCCGCTTGTGGAGCGAGGTTCAGTTCAGCGTCATATGAAGGCGGTACACTGCGATCGAGTACGTGCCAGATTCATGCGACGCTGCCCATGCTTATATATAAGCGGACCGGCTGGGACGCTATGTCGTCAACTTAGGTCAGGAAAAGAAACATAACGCCGACCGAAATGTTTGTTTCCTGTGATACAGTTCGAAAGATGATTTCTCCCGGAGTGGGCAGGTAGCGAACGCAAATGATACCGCCTGCAAGGCTTCAGCCTCTCCCCGAGGCCATGCGCACGCCTGCCGTTTGAAGCCGGAAGTTGAAGGGGATTGAACGGACGTCAGTCATGATTTCACATACACGCCCCACCAGCTCATTTGTAAGTTCAAATGTTCACATTCGGGAGATAAATGTGGACTCACAGATGCCTTCGAAGGTCTGAATTCATGTTCCCGCGCTAATTTGGTAATGACGCCGGGCATGGGCTGCACGAGAACTGCGCACACATGAGAAGGACCTGCAGAACCACTGATACAGATATGAGCCGGGGGACGTCGACATGTCCTGACAAGTTCGCGCCCGTATGATCTGCGTACCTTCCAAGAGTAGCCAGCCTCAACACTATCCAGTACTACTGGTATGTCGGAGAGCGCTCTCAGAGAACGTCATCCGGAACGGAGTGTGAGCAATGCACGAGAGAATTTATGCCGGCGCGTCTGCTCGGGGCTGTCAAAAATTGCCTGCATACCTGACACGGCCGACGGTCATGCTCACGCTGCGAATACCCAGATTGCGAGGCACGAGCTGTTAAGTAGGGCCTGCGCGTCCGCGTTTCAGATGTGTTGGTGAGAGGATGAATTGCCCGGAGAGACGAGTTACCTATCATATATCAATGCTGGTGAGGCGAGCCTGCTCACCTGAACCAGCTCTTGAGTACGTGCGACGTCTTCAGGGGATGCCTCACCCACTCTCGAAAGGGAACGCTGCTTGCCAAATTCGCGTCACTTGCGATTCGCAGTCTATACATAGTAATAACTGCCCTTTTCGGACGAGCCAGCACCACTCGCGGACCCACAAAATGCACGGCGCAGCCACAATCGTCGGGCATTTGGCACAGTTGGTAGCGCGTACGCTTCGCATGTCCGATACGTCAGTGGTAAAGTTGCGTAAGGTCCAGGGTTCGACTCCCTGAGTGTCCATCGATGGCCGTGGGCCGTGCTTTTTGTCGCGTAATCTGATCACGAACACTAACCTTCCGCGCGGTCGACTGGAATGCTGTATGAACAACCGGCTCTCAGTTTGCACGATGGAATGGGACGTGGGGGATGTCGCCACGGATGGGACTCCTGCTGCGATTCGGGCGGCGCAGACGCATAAGCCTACCGCGAGCTCGAGTTAAGCTGGAGGTATTGTAGCTTATCGTGACGGCGCGTGCAACGGGATCGTCACAATCGTCGCGACCTGTTGTATGGAGGGGATATCTATGAGCTTGTGATAAGCCAGCTCACAGAACACAGAAGGCGAAGGGGTGTAAGAGAGTATCAAGGACCTCGACGTCGATGATAGACTCACCGACTTCGTCCAGGATCCAGATGCTCACATTGCGAATGTGAGGTAGCTTCTTGGGTATCCGAGATCCGCGGGAGCTCGTGTCATATTCTGGCATGGTTAGTCGACTTGTCGCGGGTCGGCAACGGTTATGATCGACGTTGATGACAGTGCCTTGCCAAAGCTAGCCCTAGTAGCCAGAGCACGACGGCCTTGGAAGCGGAAGTAAGCGTCGCGTCCTCGGCCTCGTTGTGTGCGTGCCGGTACGGTGCAAGCAAAGCGGCCTGCTCAGGCTCGCGTTCGACGCGTCTGTGGCCCGGGGGTACTGTAGCATGTCACATTTACGGTGAGATTTGGTTATGCAAAGCTGTCTCGCTACCATTCGGATAACGACGAGATTCTTCGGCAAGCCAGTGGGCCATGTCATTGCAGTGTGACTGGTAAAATTGACCTCGGCTGATCATGATTCGACTACGCGATAACACGTGAAGCGAACACAGCGGGCGACGGTCGATTATGTTCCTCTGCATGGGCGTGTCGACTGCCACTGCCTTCAGGCTCAGCGACGCCACGTCCCAGCCTGTCAGCTTACTGTATCAGCTTGCACCAGGGCCGTCACACAGATGGGTCGACGTACTCAGTGTGCCGCGTTCATGTGACGCATGTACGCATCTTCTCTTCCAAAAGACAGTCCACAGACGTTGCAGACCCAATCCGTGGTTGGCGTCTGATCACACGCTATTCGCACTGTTGGATGACAGTGGGCGTAGCACCCTGTCTCCGGGTCTGCGTGAGCGCCAAAGCCGCTTTGAACGGCCGAGGTACACTCTGTTCTTCTGTACAACAAGTTGTTCGTTCATTGAGCTCGGAACACGACGAGTGCACTCACTCAATTGGAACCATGTCTGTGTTCTCCACGAAGACGCACACTCTGATTTGCCCAAAATGAGTGAGCATCTACTTGCGTCCGGCTTGCGTCCGCGAGTACGAGCGATGCTATGTAGTGATCTTGCTTATCGTTTTGAGCAAGCTCGTACGTAGCCTTATTATATGGGCCTCCCCTGGTGTACAAATCTGACGAGATAAGCGCAGTCCCGTTGACGTGTTCGACAGTTCAATTATTCAAACGTTCGTGTCTCCGCACTTCTGTTCTCACTATCTTGCCGCCTCTGTCTCGCGGGTGGAGCTCAAGCCAGCTGATGTCGGCCTTCTTGTACATCTTATCGACAGTGTTCCGTACAGATAAGTCTTGTCACGGTCATGTGGTAATGAGCTATCTGCATCCGCACCTGTATTGCATACATCAGCACCAATTTCAACGATGTGGAGGGCATCCGATTTTGGAGTTCGTACCGTGTATCAATGACGGAGACCGGGTGCTTATAACGAACAGCCTACGAGCTCAAGCCGCGGTTTTGGACGCCAGAATATCGTTATTGTGCTCTTCCAACACCTCGGATACTTGCGTAAACCGCGCACCGATCAGTGTTGTGAGACTTACGCACACAAACGTTTAGGATTCGTAGCACTAGAGGTTGCCTGTGAGGTGCGTTCACTCGTTAGTTATCTCCGGGACATCAACGAGTCGAAAGGAACTCAACGCAGCCATACACCGGAAGTGCTAGGATTTGAGTATGCGACTAATGTTGGGGCGAGTTATCGCCCCGAGACTCGGGCCCTCGATACGCCGTCATAAAGAGGACAGTGGGGCGGCGGATGCCCTGCATAACGTCGACTACGGAACCCGCGGTAAGTGTGGACTTGACAGGACCTTCCGACGCTTCGACGCCCACCGTGCATCCATCCATTGGTCGAATTTGACGCGTGAGTGTCCTAAGCCTCGTTGCACCTTTGAATGGCGGTTTGTCATGCGAACCTCAGAGAAGATGTACGTTCCTGTGACGACTAGCTCCGGTGCAATAAGTACCTCGACGCCACGAGGCAATATCCAACATGTCCTGTAAGGACTATGCCCGTTCAATACTCGACGAGAAGACGGCCGATGCATGCTGAGGTGCAACCTATCAGCGAGCGTGTCCACACCAAGCAAGGTGACGGACGTACATGCGAGCGACCGAAGTCCGCGCTTGATGCCTCGAATCAACCACGCGGTCCCACATCATCCACGGATGAGCTGCGGACGTGGCAAGGTTGACCAGATGGAGAAGCCTAGCCCGCACGCACGCCAGAGACGCATCTGCGAGGCATGTGTTCCGTACTCGAAAGCAACGACAAGGAAGCGGACGTTAGTGGTCACGCTCACTCCGCGTTATTCTGGTCAGTCAGCTATGATCCCAAGCGATCGCCCGATACATTCAAGCCATGATACAACACGTACTGTACACTTTAATCGCTCGCTCGCCGTTCCATACCAAAGACATCATCACGCGCAGATCCCCTTCGCACGCTTTCGCTGTTTTGCAGACCCAGATCCACTCTTGTGTAGAGGCACCCTTCAGTCGAACGCGATCTTCCCGACGCACACATATTCCCCCTCAGGCCCGTGGCTCCCCATCTCGCAGATCTGTATCTCGTCCACGCCCCAAACGCCTAGGTCGACGCGGACAGGCTCCTGCTTCTTCGCGCCCTGGCCCGGTGGCCTCCCCTTCCCCTTGGCCTCCCCGTGCCCATTGGTAGTGTCCTCGGCGACGGCAGGCTCCGCCGCGTCTACTTCCGCCGCGACCTCAGCGTCGCCACTGCCGCCGTCGGCCGTGGATGCGACGGGGACAGTGAGCGAGTCCGGGTCGAGCGCGATCGCGCGGAGAGCGTCGGAGGCGCGGACGGACGTGAAGGAGAAGAAGGTACGGTATTTGGGGCGCGGTTTGCGATGTGCCGTGTTGACGATGGTGCAGTGGAGCTGGGATCGGACGAGAGCAAGTCGGACGAGTCGGTGAAGGGCGATCAGATGGTCTATGACGGACGTACCTTGAGCGGGCGGTTCTCGTCCACTACGAAACCAGCCGATGTAAACGACTTGTTCACGAATTCTGAGGAAGATGTGGGTCAGCAACTCGAGTAGTCAGTCCGTATACAGGGACAAGCAACGCACGCGCGACGGTCCACAACTTCTCCGCGAACTCGCCATCTTCAGGTGGTCCGACCCACATCACGTTAGCGCGATTGGAACTTCCCTTTCCTCCCCTAATGATATCCATCAAACCCAGCTCAACATGCAGCTTCTGTCCCGCAAGCAATTCTATGATGTCCGGCTTCAGACTCTCCAGATGGGCGATCGCGCTCGCCAGCGTCGGCTTCTGCGTGGGGAACTCTGCTCAGCACCGTCGGAGGCTGCAGTTGCGCCCGATTGTTCTCCATTCGCGTTCTTCTGGAGAGACATGACGCCAAGTGTGAAGTGCAGCCGACGGGCAGGGACGACGACGCTCGGGTCGAGCCCGGTAATGGCGGGATCTGCGGCCAGGAGAGCGTCCGTGAAGGACGAAATGGTCTTTTGGAGATCTGCGTGGTGGCCCTATGTCGCATATGAATGTGAGGCCAGTCACTAACGATGCACAGATGCGGGCAAACGTACGATTGGGAGAGAGATGACTGCATGTATGCGCTGCGTTCAGCATAGGGTGGGAAGGATGAGCAGAGAAGTACGCACAGTGTGTCAAGTGTGGCCTTGGAGGTCGTTCCCTCTTCGTACGAGGAGGGCGAGCCTCCCTCGTCCCTTCGGCCTGTTCACCTTCGCCTGGCTGAGTATGGCCGTCTTCGGCAGGTGCAGCGCCCCTGCCCCTGCCCCTTCCACGTCGCCAACCCCGATACCCGCGTCGTCCTCCGCGCCTTCCGCGTCCGCGCTGACCCTGAGCGGGCTCTTCCTCTGCTGCGCCGCCCTCAACCTCTTCAGTAATCGGAATCTCCTCCGTCTCGATGATCTCGACGATCGACGCGGTCGTTTCGACCTCTCCGTACGGCTCTTCACTCGTTCCACCTTCACCTGCCCCAGCCGCAGCACCGCGACCGCGGCCCCGCCCACGCGGCCTTCCTCTGCCCCTACCTCTGAAGCCTCCTCTTCCACGACCTCTGCCGCGACCACCAATCTGTGCTGATTCGAATGCTGCTTCCGTGTCCATGCGAGCGAGAGCCGAGAGGGCGATGCGAGGTGAAAAGAGGGGATGGATGTGGAAGGGGAGGAAGAGGGGCCGCGCGAAGACGGGGAGCATGCGCGTGGCCAGAGGCGAGGCCCATCGAGTCGCACGAACCTTGAGCTTGCGCTGCCAGTTGTGGCGCACCGCGGCCGAGTGCGGGGCGAGGAACGTGACCGTGTGTCCCAATTTGTCCTCCATTTTGATCCCCTCCGACCCGCTCGGAGCGGCCCGCTGCCCCGCCGCTTCGTCTCGATACACAAGTCCTGGCGTTGCCCCTCCCCAAAGTCCGTGGCGAGCAGACTCAGACGGGTCCTCTGCGCACCATTACAGCTGGCCCGTACAGCGACGACACATCGGAAGGCGGCCTGGCCATTGCGTTCATCGCTGCAAATCCTCGTCCCGGGGGCCGCCACGCTGGGCCGCTGGCTGCCCGCGTCAGCACATATTAACATCGGGTCCTTCCGAGTCGCCTGCCTCCAAATGTTTGCATCGGCCACGGATAGGTCGTATGTTTCTCACCGTCGCGTCAATACTGGACTGTCAGCCGCAGGCCACGCTACGCATACAGCTCGGGAAGTTAGACAGCGAGACGGAAGATGAAGCCGCACTCACCTCTCTCTCGTGCGTGTTACGTCTCCCATGGGGACGCCAGTGGTCACTCATTCTTTAGATTCGATCCGACGACGCGTCGGGTCCCTCTCATAGAGCGAAACGCGCGAGACATCACCACCCGCGTCTCTATCATGGTGCGTTTCCCTTGTCGGTCCGTTCACAAACATCCGGAAGGCGTGCAGCACGGGGAATGGTAACGCAGCATTGCTGCCGAGGGAAAGAATTGTCTGCGTGTGCCAGGTATGTTCCCATCTCGCGCTTGAAGTTGAGCACCGAGGTCGTGTTGCTCGGCAGGATGACTCGCACGCCCGTTCAGGTGGCAGTCCGACTTTTACGCTATACGGGGCGTTGCGGCGCTCGTGATCCGTCCGACAGGGCGACAAATTCATTTACGACGTGCGTGTCGCCCATGACATTCGTATCTAACACGCATCGTCATGCGCTCAAGACAAACGGTCTACCTTCGTACGTCCCCAATGCGCTCAGATCCGACCGTTCGTTTGCATATTCCGCAAGCCCGATCGTCGCCGACGCTCACCCGCACCGTGCCTTGCTCGTCCCGTGCATAATGACCTCGGGGTTCGTCGTTCCTGGGCCCCAGACCTGACTCGCCCCGAGAGCGCGTTGCCGGTGCCGTTCAACATGACAGGGCAGACGCTCGCCAGCCGCCAAGACAGACCCCGTGCGAGCCCATCCGTTGCTGATAACCCATCTCTGTGCGCTCAGCTTGCCCTCAGCCCTCGACTCATCAGGAGGTAGATTGCGGCGTTCGAATCCCGACCTGTTCAGCTGGTCCGAAAGCTGTCGGAGCGACGGTGGCTGCGCGCAACGGTCCAGGTATGTTTTCATGTATGTATAACTCCTGAGGGAGTCGTTATCGTCGCGCTAATGACCTACTCAGGATGCTATTCATGTTTTGAACTCCCATGTCGTTACGGCGACGGACTGGGATGATTGCAGCAGAGCACATCAGTTCGCGAGAGCAACGAGAGAAGGAGATGCTATTACACTGCTTCTGTCAAACGAAGACTGAAGGCGTAGGTATGGATGCCGGTGCTAGCCTCGATGCGGCAAAGGCGGGCACATCCGGAGTATTGTAATACGGGGAACATACGCCGTCGAGAGCGCGCCCAGAAATTCTGAATGAAAGGAAGAGTGCCGTCGGCGCGAAGGTCTTTGTGGCGAGCCGCACCAGAGTGCTCTTTCTGCGTATGTCGACTTATGTATTTTCGAGCGCGTTGTGTCATTCGCGTCGTTCTTTCGACGGGTCGAATTCGAGACTTTGCGGTGGCCCAGTGCAACGACCTGAGTGCGCTTGTCGTGAGAAGGCGCGCGCCGCGGAGATGGAGGTTGAAAAGTACGACATACGGATTAGGTAACGCCCAGCCGGGCGTGAGTGTGCGGGTTGTCGGTTAGCGAGAACGCGGATGAGATCTGGCCATGGACAGTTCGTGCTGGGGCCGCCCAGGTGCGGTTACTTCTGACCGCACTACAACCTATATCTATTGCTTCCTCTCCTCGCCCCGCGTCATTCCTTCTTCGAATTCACGCCATTCTTTCAGTCTATCCCCCTCTGATAACTTGCTGCATCGCTAACGGACAACGACTCGGACGACCTCGCAAACATCAATATCATTTTTCAACACTCACAGGCCTACTTCGACTGCCCGATGCGCGTCCCTGTTGCTACCACGTCGCGCACGAAGACTCCGTCATGGAAGGGGAAGGAGCGGGAGACGGTCGTTGAAAGAGAAGGCTCAGGAGGCAGCAACGGCGTCGTGCTGCCGTTACAGCTCTTGACCGAGTCGATGTATCAATCGTGAGTGTTCCGTCTCGACGTCGCGCCACCTGGCTTTGAAGTTTGCGAACACTCGATCGACATCAAAAAGCGAGCGAGTAGGAACTGCAAGCCGAGCGGAGCGCGCGTTTCGTACGCGGGTCCATGAGCTGAACAAACTCGTAGTGTCTATACTCTCCCTGTCCTCGTCGGCGGTGGCCGCCAAAACCTCTCCCTCCAAGTAGATACCGGTTCTGCTGACTTGGTGCGTGATCTCTGTATCTCCCTATTCGTTCGATACTGATTGACTGTAGTGGATCGCGTCTACGTCCTGCTCAAGCTCGCCATGTAGCGGCACTGGCGGCCACCTCTACGACCCCTCTACGGCTACAGCCGCCGACGACTCCTTCGCGCTATCCTACCTCCGAGGCTCAGTATCCGGCGATATAGTATGGGATGCCGTCTCGCTCGGCGGATACAACATCACAAACCAGGCGCTAGGTGCGTAGTATTAGACCGCGCATCGCGTCCAATAAGTTGATTGTTTGCCCACCTCATCCCTGTGCCCTATCGTCTTGCCCTTCGTCTTCCGTCTTGCCCTTGACCACACCATCTCGCCATGCAGCCGCCGTCTCGTCCGTAGACGGCGAACCGCTCGATCCCCTCTACAGCGGTATCCTCGGACTCGCCCTCCCCGCCGACTCGTCCATCTACCTCAGCATCGGCAATGACGAAGGCAACGCCCTCGCCGCCAATCTCTTCGGCATGACATCTTCCGCCAGCGCGCCGTCCGCGCCGTTCCTCTCCCTGTCTCTCGGACGTCCCGGCTTCAATGACGTCCCCTCCGTTCTCGGCGTCGGCCTCCACCCATCAGAGCTCGTGCCCGATCCGAGCAAGGTCGAGTACCGCGACCTCGTCACGAACTACAACTACGACCAGTTTTGGGCGACGAGCGTGCGGGATATTACAGTTTGGGTTGACGGCAAGGCGAAGGTGATCGCCCTGGGTGACTCGACGTCGGGCGCGACGTATCCCACTGCGGTGCTCGACTCGGGGACGCCGGTCATTCTGGCGTCACCGGTTATAGCCAGCGGGATATATGCTGCCCTTGGGATGACAGCTGCGTCTGACGGAACTTGTGAGTGGAGATCGTCGATCTTCTGCCTTCTGTCGTTCTAATCGCAGGGTAGATTACATCCCTTGCACGACCCCGATCAACATGACGATCACTCTCGACGACCGCACCCAGATCCCCCTCCATCCTCTCGATCTCTCGACCTCCTCGTCCACCGCCGGATCGTACTGCATGGGTATGATCCAGTCCACCGCGCAAATGACCTCTTCCGTCCACGTCCCCGACGTCGTGCTCGGGGTACCTTTCCTGCGCAGCGTGTACATGGTCATGGCCTACGAAAACCCCGACGAAGGTGGTACCTTCTCGAGCGATGACACCTACCAGCACGCCGGCGAGCAGGCCAACCCCCAGCTCGGCCTCATGGCGCTCACGAACGCCACGCAGGCGATCAAGGAGTTCAACCAGACCAGGCTTGGCGGTGGCGCGTCTGGCTCGTCCACGGGCTCAGGCTCGGGGACTCACGGGAAGAAGCTTTCCGTCGGCATCGACGTCCTCCTCGGCTGCGTCGGCTTCCTCGTCCTCTGCGCGGTCATCTTCGTCGCCCGCTGGTTGTACTACAAGCGCAAGTGGCGCCGCGTGCCCGGCGACTTCGAGAGCGACAACAAGGACCTCCCGGACGTTCGATATACCCTCGCACGGCACAGTTCTATGACGGACAGGTACAGTATGGCCGACAGTAGCAAGTCGCCGCCGAGGAGGCCGACACCGCTCCGTAACGCCTCGTCGTACTATGGCGAGGCGGACGCACTTGGTTTCCTGTCCTCGATGCCGAACGGGGCGACCGAACGCACTGGGGAGCGGAGGCACGACGAGGGCCCAGCGCGGGCTAGCGTCGCGTCGTGGGACTCGTTCTGCATGAGTCAAACCAAGCCCTCAGGATCCCCTTACGCGTATCAGCGGGCTGGGCTCGACAGCCCGCCCGGCTCGCCTGGCCTACCGTTGCCGGAGGGTGGTCGGGGTAGCGTGGTCTCGGGTGACGCGTCTTCTCCTGCAGCATCGCATCGACGGCTGGAGAGCGACGAGTCACTGGCAGTGCCGTTGTTGGCGCATACACGGACACCTTCGTCCGGCGGCGGGGTTGCGCGTTCGGAAGACCTCGCTGACTACGGGTTGCACCTCAGGCCACAGGCCCCGACGCGACGGCCGGGGTACGAGCGGATGACGAGTTTCACCTCCGCAGATTTGGATAGCGCGCAGCGCAGCGGCGTTGTCGGGGAGGATCAAGATGCAGGTGAACATCGGGATGCGCATCCTGTGTTCTCGCAGCAGCGGGTTGAAAGCGACCATTCATGTAGTGAGTTGGATCGGACATTGCCGCCGTCGTGTGTAACAGAATCATAGCACTGATCTCGAGTGTGTATATACTATATGCTTTGCATCGCTTGGATAAGTGGACTTGTTTGCTAGTCGTTCCTCGGTCTCGGTATCTAAGTAGTGTAGGACCTGGACTTTGACTGCTGTCTCTCATTGAGTTTATTGCTAATGGTGTATTCTACCTGCTGTGCTTACCTAACTATATAATAATTACCGGCCGGGGGCAGCCAGTAAAATTTCCTTTTTTGGGTTGTTTCCCACGCTCTTCCTAACTATATAATAATTACCGGCCGGGGGCAGCCAGTAAAATTATATAGTGTTTTCTAAAGGGGGTACAGGTTGGGATAGGGTCCGGGTAGCACCACTTTTGCCTACAGAATGTTGGGTTTTACCCTCCAAACAGGTACCAAACCCGATGAAACAGGGGAAAAACAGCGCAGATTCGACGTATTGGAGTAACATGGGTTTGGGTACGGATTTTTTGCCCCAAGATATCCCGACTTTACAGCGATCTATGGTCCGACACGACCCAACATACATAATATTCATGTACAGCGAGCAGACATCTCCGACATCACTGCGACGAGAGCCCTGTGTCCGACAGTGCCACATCGTTCATGATTGATGTAGCCGACAGTGCTGTATCGTTCATGAACAATGTAGCCGACAGTGCTGTATCGCTCATAAACGATGAAGCCGGCAGTTGTAGGATGCATCGTTTGTGAACGATGCATCCTACAACTGTCGGATGCATCGTTCATTAACGATACAGCACCGCCGGCTACAATCGCTGCAGATGTATGCGACAGGTCGGATGCATCGTTCATGAACGATACAACACCGCCGGCTACAATCGCTGCAGATGTATGCGACAGGTCGGATGCATCGTTCATGAACGATACAGCACCGCCGGCTACAATTGCTGCAGATGTATGCGACAGGTCGGCTGCATCGTTCATGATCGATGCCTCCGACAGCACTGCAGTTGTATACGACAGTGTTACGTCGTTCGTGAACGATTTATCCTACAGTGCTACATCGTTCATGGACGATAAAGCCGATAGTGCTGTATCTTTCATGAACGATTCATCCGCAAGTACTGCGTCGTGGTAACCATGTGATAGGGTTAGGGTCCACACAGGGAAAATGGTTGTCTTGAATTCCCTCCCACAATGGGACTTGTCGCAGTGTGTCTGAGGTGGACCACATCGTTCGCAATCGATGCGCCCATTAACATTAGAGTGTCAATAGCTACCATGATTCACCTCAGCTACCAATGGACAGAAACAGTTGAGATATCCAGTCCCATCTCTATTACCGTAGCTTGTGTCGTGACGTCTGACAGTAGTCATTACAGAAACCCATGATGGAGTCGGTTGAGGCTTGCTGAACGCTTGTCATTCGTAAAGACATACCCTCGTTGCAGCATCCGTTCAGTTGAGATGTACTGTTCTGGTGAACCCACTGCCAGGTTCCGCATTCAATGGCGTCAACTTGTAAGATCATGCATAGAAACAAACTCCAGTAGTCCTTTCGAAGGCTTCAGGAAAGGCACATCGGTTGTATCAAACTCTATGTCTTTTTTGTCACTTATTTATAGGCCATCGGACGCACCTTGTGATTCTCTCAGAAGATGGCCGGTGTGTCAGCGACCTTGCGTCATCATCCACCCATCGGTATGCCGACACAATCACCGGAATCAATTGGAGATCACTGGATGCGAGCCTCGAGGTGCAGCAGGCTCTGTCGGGCCAACGTCCGGTTTCCCCCGTCGTTGACTTTTAACGACAGCGTGATTCCAACCAGGTCCATATCACTTCACCCCCCACTCTCTCCGAGCTGCTGCCATGGTTGGACCTTGCACTGTCGACTTTGTTCTGGGCATCATGTCCTTACTGGCACCCCCAGGAAATCTATCTCCCCGTCCCCGTCATGAGATCGTGACGGGCAGCCGACTGTTCACCGATGTAACGGGCCTATTCGGATGTCATCAAGACCTACCCGATATGGACTATCTTATCTATATGCTGTTTGCTTATGTTTGTACTCCCCTCATATGGCGCGCCAGCGCACTTCCTGTAGTCTCCAACTACCCTTTAATCACTGCCTAAACGATACACATAGTCTGTAGACTTCTCTTGAATAGAGATTGGATACAGCGTATCTGCGGGTGTGAACTGGGTCGTTACATATTTTTACGCTCCTCTGCTTTCTCAAACAGACTTCTACTCTGGAGAAATCTACTGGCAACAACTCGAAACTTCGAACTCAAACTCGAAATCTATGCATTGCATCACTCTCGTCGACCTGGCAGCCCTACACTATGTCTGAGTCGACAACAACCAACACTACCGAGACTTCGCGCAGCACTCGTGAATCTCGCCGCGAAAAGCGCCAGGCACTTCGCGCGAATGCCAGGCCTCGGTTAACGTTGGCCGAGATACGGGCCAAATACACTGCTCAAGCACTACCTGAAACTTGGGACCGCCGGACTGAGCTCTCCAACCCCGAGAACTCATCCGGAGTACTCGCGGAGCAGGCACTATCCGACCGCGAGGTTGAACAGGCATCGCGTGCTGAGCCGCCCAAGCCCAGCACCGAGACTGTTCCAACCGAGCCAATGCGAAGTAGCCGCGGGTCCAGAAGTGGAACCCGCAGCAAGAGGCTGAGGGCATTGTGCGCGGAAATCTTAGCTAAGCTCGCCGCGAGCCAAGAGCAGCCCATACAAGAATGGGCTGAGGCATCAGGCAAGGGGCTGCACAGCAACGAATGGTACGAAGACCTCGAGGCGCGAGTCGCAGACTGCGAACACGCCGAGAGAGCTGCCCGAAGGGCAGAAAGGGCTTTGTCTAAGAAGACAAAGACCTCGTCTCATCATCAAGAAGCTGCCTCTCGCACCGCGCAGTCCGCCCGGACTGAGTTCTCCGACCCAGAGAACTCAGTCAGAGCACTCGCGGAGCAATTGCCATCCAACCGCGAAGTTGAACCGACATCACGCACTGAGCCGCCCAAGCCCAGTGCCGAGACTGTTCCAACCCGGCCCTGTTGAGGTCGCGTCGCGATCTCGATCTCAGCCACCGGGCACGTGACGTACCACCGGGGGTGGTTCGTCCTCTCGTCCTCTCTCCTTCCTTTCCCTCAGTCGATGTTCTACTAAGACTGAGGTGAGACCCTTTCATGACTATACGATACCCTAGTACTGACTACCTAAATAGCGTCTGACCGCGTGTTTAGGTAGCTTAATTCCTAGTCGATGTTCTACTAAGACTGAGCGTCTGACCGCGTGTTTAGCTTCTACAGGTTATGAGCCCCGGGCGGTGTTTTTGAACCCGCTCGTACACCTGAAGCACTCACCGGCTTTTCAGACTCTAGAACAACATCGCAGCGCCCATATAAGAGCGCATACACCCGCATATAGTCACCCTTTTCCGAGACAATGACGGGATCCCCGGCCTCTAGTCCGAAGGCGCCAAAGACGACGCCGAGATCTCTCCGCTTCGACTCCGTTCCTGAATCTAAGGGACTATCTCCGGCGGCAACCATGTCCTCGGCGACCTCGAAGAAGATCGAACCGATCAATCTCCCGTCCTCGCTGTACAGCGGAGGCATCGTACTCGACCGTGGGAAGAGCAACTGGCACGAGTGGAAGACGTACGTCCGTCAGCACCTCACCATGTGCCGAATGTGGCCATACTTGGCCGGGACCGTCGTAGAGCCCGATGGCGACCTCGACCCGACGTCGTTCGAGAACTTCAAAATGAACGAACAAATCGTCATCGCGTTTTTGGGGACGAAGGCCGCGGAGGAGGAACAGAGCTTCATGGCCAACTACACCGGCGCTCGCGAGTTGTGGGTCGCCCTGTGCGGTCGTCACGAGAAGGAGCCCGGAGCATACGCTCAGGCGCGTCTCTTCCAGGAGCTCTTCGCCATGCGATACGCGAGCGCCAATGAACGCTACTCTGCGACCTCCATGCGCATTCGAAAAGGGTGCGAGCGCGTTTTCAACATCGGCATACCGACCCTTGACGTCTTGCAAACCATCATCATGATGAATGCCATGAACGGCGAGCTGATCAACTTGCAGTCTCAAATCGGTACGTCACTGTCTTCTGCAGCGACCTCGGGCATTCCGTACACCACCGTCAACATCATCCATCGCCTCGACATGGAACAGCAGCTGGTCGACAATCGTGGCGTGAAGGGCGCGTCCACCATGGACGTACTCGTCGCTTCCAAAGCTGGGCGTCCCTCGAAGACGTGCACCAACTCGCAGTGCCCTCGCCCGAGCGGTCACACCGCGGCCGAATGCTGGGCTCCTGGTGGAGGGATGGAAGGACGTCGCGAGGAGATCATGGCCAACAAGAAGAAGGCACGCAAGGGTAAGGAAACGGCGGCGGTCGCATCCGATCCTCCTTCCCAAGGTCGCCAGATCCGCGTCGTTGACCCCGAGACTGGCCACGCCTACTTTCTCACTGTTGCGCCGGCTTCCTCGGACGCTGCCTCCCCTGCCACGTCCACCTCCGACTTTGCTGGTCTTGCTACCGATACGACTCCAGAGTGGCTGGCGTCCGTGACGTCTCCGGCGGATGCTGCCGAGTATGCCGCCCTGGTTTCTATGACCAGTGAAGACACTGTCTCTCTTAACTGGGGTGAGCACTCTCGTGACCGTCTTGATCCTCTCGCGTACTCTGTCGCTCCGGTGCCTGTCTCTGCTCGCCGTCTGCCTGCTGCTGGCCCTGAGCCCTTCGTCTTTGACTCGGGCGCCTCCACCCATCTCTCGCCTCGGAAGGACGACTTCCACGACCTTCGCCCGATTGCCCCGCGTGGCATCCGTGGCGTCAATGGCTCCGTCATCCACGCCTATGGTGTCGGGAAGGTTCGTCTTCACCTTGGCCGCGGTGCCTCGCTGGTCCTCGACGACGTTCTCTATGTCCCTCAAGCCACTGTGCGCCTCATCAGTATCTCCGCTCTGTGCCGCTCCTCTTCGCGTTACAAGGTCCTTTTCGATGGCAACCTCGTGCGGATCACCAAGCCGGGTGGGGCTCTCGTCGCGTCCGGCGCGCTCACGGCGCGTCGCCTCTACTCTCTCAACGGCTCGTCGCCTTCGACCGAGCACGCCCTCTTCGCGGGTCGCGTTCCTACCATTGACACCTGGCACCGTCGCCTGGGTCACGTTAACCACCGCACCATCTACGACATGGCTCGCTCCAATGCCGTCCAAGGTATGCCCATCTCCCTCTC